TGATTTCCCATCTTTTTTGTTCTTTTTTGTTTAGACCTTACATAATTGACACAAATTGTACATCAATTTGAACCTAATAAGATATGCTTACTGTATCAAAGAAATAACACATTTTTCGAAGAATATACTTGTTTCATTTCTTTTATGGATAAAACGTTGAGAGCAGAGGCTAACTCAAATACTCTATACCGGGATTGGTATAAGTCTTTTGCATCAGTAATGCATGATTTGAGTCATAAATATCATCTATTAGGACTGTGAAGGTTTGAAGTTGACAAGCTTGTAATCACAGTTCAAAAGACAAAAAAAATGAACACCCTGTAAAACTTATCAAGAATGCATATTTTTTATTGATAAATTAGATAGATCCCAACTCTGTCCAAGCCCCATTTAGGAGAAAAACGATTATTAAAGTTGTGTTGATATGCAACCGGTTGATTTTCGTATTTAGTTTTATCTTTCCTTTCTTCTTTTTGATCTTTGATCTTTTCTTTTTTGGTACTAACAGTCGTTTCATATAAGGTCCAGCTGCACTGCCCCAATTTTCTCTGCAACTGGATGTATACAAGTCGTTAGGTTTGGGTGGAATAATTGCGTGGTTGAGATGGGCACGTCACTTTTTGAGATGGACGGTACCATCCTCTTCTCATTTCCCTTTCTGAATTTATGTCGAATGTGCATAGAGTTCGATTTAGCATGAAAGGAAATGATCGGAGCTCAATCATATGAAATGCTCGATTCGTAACAAGAACCTATCTCGACCAATGTGAATGTTCGATTTAGAATGAAATGATGATGTTCGATGAGTGGCGAATTGAGAGCGACGTGCCTTCCTATGTGTTGAACGTCATTGTCTTTTCTTATTCTTATCCTTATTCTTATGTCAAATGTCATTTTCTTCGTTTTCCTCTCAATTGGGTTATTGCCTAACTCTCCAAACAGTGAGAGCGAGTTTCACTTTCTGCTAGCAAAGCATCGGGCAATGATGCTTCAGTTAGGTAAAAGCGTCTCCTTTCATACGATCTCCAGCTTTTCTTAAAGATCGAAGAGACAGCAAAGATAGAATATATATAATGCCTCTAACTTTAACGACCAATCTTTCGAAATGGAAAAAGAAAAATAATCTCTCGCTTAACAAACTTCACCTAACTAGGTTTAAGGTACTTTAATGCCTAGCTGAAACAAAAGCCTTGATGGAGATGGAGGAACTTCAGATCCGCGACAAGAGTATGGCTCTTAAAAGATACAAGGTCTTCAATGGTATGTGCTGCATAATCGACTGATTGAGATGGAAGGACTTTTTTGTGAAAAATTAAGTACTACATGCGACGATCGGTAGAGATTAGTATGTACTAATTTAGAGAAATCATCGTTGGAAAGCACACACGCTAAGGCTACGATCATATCGGATTGGCGCCATGGAGAGATTGAAAAGTTGGTGCAAATGTTACCATGTTGGTCATCATTAGGTTAGAGAAAAAGTGTGGTATATTGGATAGTCTTTTTTTTTTAATAATCAAGAGAGATGGATGTGTAGATCTGACTACCTGAATGCCCATTAACCTTCAAAGAGAGACAATTGGGAAAGCTCTAAATCTCCGGAATGAGATTAGAGGTTAATGTACTCGGTATTTAACTGTACAAGCAGAGAAGCATCAGGAGTGTCTTGCTCCATTTGTTGCACCATATGCCTAAACTAGAGGAATTTAAACAATAAACAAAATGGGTAAGGTACCAACAATTTCCTAACAGACCAACCCACCCAATCCCACTTTTATTTTGGAGTTGCCATGGAAGATCTTTCCTACTTAGCAGCTTGCAAACCCATGAACAGGTTAAATATAAATCTTTAATCCATGCAAACAACCGTAACTCAAAGTAATTTGCATATAGTTAGTCAGATTCGAACGGGTGATATTCAATTTTTGGGTTGGAATTCCCTGCCCCAACCAATAACGCCCACTCCCAAAGTTAAGATAGTCTTGTTTTTCAGTCCGGCAAGCGAATAAGGTTTCTATTCTTGACAAATGCCGCTTGGCTACTTGGAATGCGAAATTTAAGGAGAAATAGATCGAAACGAGAATTGGGTACGCTAGAAAATGATACAAGACCCAAAAGACCAATCTAAGTATATATATAAAAAAAAGACCTGTTCAAATTATATGTATATTTAACAGCTAACTCCTAAATAATCGTGTTGGGTCCATTTTGCATTGGGGGCTATACATGTATAAGATCTGAGATGGATGATGTACTTCAGTCCATATATAATTTATTGCCCTACTTTACATAATACCTGCCTGAGCTTATAAAAAAAAGAATAGACGGTATATTTGAAAAGGACAGGACCTAAGTCATGGCTGCCTTATCAACGCACAAAAAACAAATTATATATTAATTAACCTTCGTAATCAGATCAATTAATAACTCTTTATTGTCACATCACACCTCCTTTTAAATAAAGTTTCTTCTTTTTAATTATGTGGCAATTCTGGTTTAAGAGTTAATTATTACAGTTTCCTTGGCCAAAGAGAATTCTGATTAGTAGGTCAGGTAAGATTGCTAACAGTCCTTTCAATAAAGAACCTTTTCACCTTTTCGTTCCCCTCAAAAAAGTTCTAGTGCCACCACTTGCTTTCAGTTTTCACCTATGCTTTGCCTAGGAATCTAGTATGCTAGACAGCCACTAAATGTCATTAAGTTCTAATTTTATCCCTCTTTTAGTTGTTAAGGGCTTGGAGGCAATTCTCGAATCATGATTTGTCAAACCAACATCACCCGTTAGCTTTAATAAAGCTTAAAGACGACGCATGTCGATCGTTCATGAGTTACGAGATTATTAGAAAACTTACATACTCATATAGATACTTGGTGTATTTGCTCACAAGTTAATTACACGTTGGGAGAATAATCGAGAGAGCTTTCTTTTGAAAAGTTGTGAATCAATTCGATCAATCGAGCTGCTTAATCATGTAAGATATGTCATCTAACCTGGTTAGGAGTTATGGAAGCTATTCATCTGTAGGAGTTATGAAACCAAGCTACACAGTTTGAACTCTCGATATGATATATACCTCGATCGAGGGTCGGTATGGCGATTGTATCGGTCAACCAAGTAACCTAATGGAAAGATCAATCTCTTTGAACGTTGATTATTAGTAAGGTCTAGATGACGATTGAGTTTGAGTCGCGTCAGCCTCGAATGAATTAAGCAATTTATTTGGTCAACCTTAAAAATCAAGTGTGTTGAGGCTTGATTTAGGGAAACCCATTTTAATAAATACTACCATAAGGTGACTCGACTTAGGTCATTCCTCCACATGTTGCGTAATTTACTACGCTTGAATATTTAAACTTGAAAAGGAACTTTCTAATATAATAACTATATCCTCCATACATGTTCATGTTGCTTTAGTTCTTTTTTCTTTTTAGTTCACATCACTATTATTTACTTTGCTCGTACATATTGAGCTAGAGAATTAAGGGTACTCAGGACCAATCTATCGATTCAACTTGATAAGTCCTTTGTGAAATTTATATTCTCAATGTGAATGGGCATGCCTTTCGAATCGGAGACCGGAGGGCACCATCCGGATCACAAAACCAACGAGAAGTAACGAGAACACATGCCGAATTCTTCTTTGCTAATGACTTTTTTTCGTTAAGTGATGCTATCAAAATACCTTGTTGGTCGTGGACCTATTTGTTTACACTCGAGCAAAAGCAAAAAAATGCCAAAACGTAACATTGTATTGTTTAGATTTTGGAATATTATGAAAAAACCATACATGAATTTACATGTCATGCGAACGTTTGGGGAGTTTCATATATAAAAATAGTCAAAGTGCACGGGTTGAAAGAGTTTTTTTTTTTTTTTGGTTAGAGTATTGTTTTTTGGTCGGTTGTCAGAAGGTATTTTTCTTGGTCGTAGTTAGAGGGTTGAAAGAGTTACATTAAGCAACAAGTAGGAAGTGAAAAATCAATCCAGACAAGCGGTTGGGAGTTACACTTTTTAGAGTACTCATCTCGACCATGTACTTCTTTAGTGCTCCCGTGCATCGCACGTTGGGCTAATTAGCATTTCTCCGGCATCGCGACATTTCCCTTTTTTATCTGAGTAATGCTAAAGATATAAAGATCGATTTCTGATTAATGTGATAAATTCTTGTAGAGTACATATATATGTCCACTAAATCAAATTTATCACGTTGCTCTGTACAATCATTCTCATCCTTAATCCTTATGCTGAAGTTTTCTTTTTTCTCCATACAGGATCGGCCCGGCCCACCCACCACATAGGTGATTTGGGCCTTGCTCGACATTGACAATCAAAAGCCCATTGGCCCTTCAAGCCCATTGGGCTTTCAATGTCAATGCTATTTTCGCCTTCACCACGTGAAGAGGTCGCCGACCACAATTGAATGAACGAACAGAGAAAACCCTGAACTTCGTGGTGGGTTTAAACATTACAAGGGTGAAATCACATTACAAAATATCGAGCTGAGCTAATAAGGACAATCCCGATACGTATCGATTGACCGAGAACACCTCACGAAACAAATGTTCCATATCTGCACGGCCGTATCTACGGCGCTGATACCGTGAAAGCAAGGATCGAGACGCGAGTTGCGAACCCGATCGGGATCGTGACTGAATCCGTACTTCCAATAAGCTGAGATCTTTCTTTTCCCGTGATTTAGGAAATAGGAAGAAGGGAAGAGGAGGACGACTCTTGTTCAATTCACAAATGAGCAATCTTCCAATCATATAACTCGAAGGCTGGAATTTACATGTTAAAGAAAACTTTCCAAGTCGATTACATGGCAAAAAGAAAAAGGGCAAAAAAAATAAAACATCGTCAAAGGACAAAAAAAAGTTCGATCAGTACAAGAAAAGAAAAAGAAAAAGAAAAAATAAATAAAAGAAAGCAATAAAAAGCCCAATAATTAAAAAATTATGTCTCTCTCTCTGTCTCTCTCTCTCCCAGTAGTTAGGGTTTCTCTGCATCTCTCTTCCCTCTAAGCTTCCCCCTCTCTCTACAGTCTCGGCTTCATCATCACATCGCTTCAATCTCTCTGCTTCGTGCATCATTAGGTTCACCCTCTCTCTCTCCAGGTACCTCTCTCTCTCTCTCTCTCTCGTGTGTGTGTGTGTGTGGTCATCTCCGTCGACGAAGTCTTGAGCAGTCCACGCGCTGCTGCGGTGCGCCGTCGTGAAAGGTGATGTTATCGGGTTGCTGAACTAGATTGAAGGACGGCGGGGATGTTAGTTGGAGCGTGTTTTTTCGCATGCCCTGTCGTCTCCGCAAGGTCGTGTTTCCCGTATTCCTCCTTGCCTTCCGCAAGCAGCCGAAGAAGGGCGCGCGCGCTGTTATGTAGCTCGCCGAGCTGAGGGGGAAGGCGGGGAAATTTCGAGCTTGAGGGTATTCCCATTGGAGGATGCCCTGTGATATTGTGATGATTCTGGAAAACCCATTTGGTCTTTCGTTTAAATTTTTCGACTTTCGGGTGTTGTTGTCGATCGTGGATTGTTTACGCGAATATTTGAACATGGTTGGTCGCTTAAACTGTTTACTTATGTGGTTAGAGTCTGGAAATGGAGATATGCACTGGTCAGTTTAGGCCAATTTTGGTGGAAAACTATGCGTTACTTACCTTCGGGATCAACTGACACGTGTTTCTGCTCGAACATTTTACGCATAACAATAAGTGTAGTATCTGTGATTTAATTCATCCAACCGAAATTGATTCACTTGTCATATTTTCTTTCGAGTAGATGCTGAGGAAATTATAGCACGAACTCGTTGCGGCTTATTAAGTGGGTAAGTATAAGCTATTTCTCATCATTGACTCACAGAGCAGATGGAGTGGGGGAAAGGATCGTAATTGACACTGCATTCATTAGCTGCGTGCTTTCCGTCTTTACATAGGACGAAGAATACTTTGCCCAATATGGAAACTCAAAATTCAATCGTTGCAAGAGCCGAAGAACTCAAACTTCAAGCGAATGAAGCATTCAAGGGTAGGCATTTGCGCTTGCATTTCGCTTTACTTCTATCGATAATATCTGTATACGGAGATTTGTGTATTATGTTGGGTTGCCAGTAGTAATTGTGGTTTTCTGCCTTGAACGGAATGTATCCGAATAAATTTTACGCGTCTTTCGCATTTATTATTGATTCTAACGCTAAAGAAAGTATTGAGGATGAAGTAATAGATAGAACGGGTACTAACTGGAAGAGAAAGGAGTTTTCACTTATAAAGAAAGCTGGAAGAAAATAATTCTTATGCTAGTAGAACCTTATACGAGTTTTATACCTTCCTCAAGTTTTGAAACTTATTTTTCCTCACACAATTATTAACTTGTATTCTTTGAATAAGTCAGAAGTTGCTTCTATTTTTTCTCTACTTATACTGACCTGTGCCAACTTCTTTAAACATGTAGCCCACAAATATGCACAAGCTATTGATCTGTATAGCCAAGCAATTGATTCGAATGGTGAGAATGCTGTATACTGGGCCAACAGGGCATTTGCTCATTCTAAACTGGAGGAGTATGGAAGTGCCATACAAGATGCTTCCAAGGCTATTGAAATCGACCCTGGATATTCAAAGGTGTGCATCAATCGAAGAATTTGGTGTTCTCCCCCTGCTATTGCACATGTTGTTGTTCTCTCTGCTGATGGCTTCATGTACTTTTAGGGCTATTACAGGCGGGGTGCGGCTTATCTTGCCATGGGGAAATTCAAAGAAGCGCTCAAGGATTTTCAGCAGGTATTTTACTCTTGTCAACTTTACTTTTCCATACCTCTTTTCATGTTGGGAATGTTGCAGTTGAATGCGTTATAGGTTCTTTCTCAACGATATATTAGTTCGGTAGATGGTTGTTTGTACTCTTTGGCTTGATTTTGTTGTAACTGATTGGTTCTTCATTTTTTTTTTTAATTGTGAAGAACGGAGGTGCTTTCTATGCTGCCTTTTTATAGATTATAGTTATTTATGACACATCCTGTCTTGGAACAGGTTATCCAGCAACCCTCATGCACAATCAATGACTTGATGAAAAATTGCATCACTACAAATTTTTGGAGCGTTTGTGATATATATGTGATTGATGGATCTTATCGTAAAATAATTTCTGACAGTTGAAGGTCATCTTTATATTCAAGATAGGATGAGTGACCCTCAACAATGATCCTTTGTTGAAGCTTTTGTTCACCTTGTTGATATCATCAGGATTAATGACCTATATATTGTTTCTTCTGTCGTGCATTTATTAACAAATTTTTTTCTTAGGTTAAAAGACTCTGTCCAAATGATCCTGATGCAAGCAAGAAATTAAAGGAATGCGAAAAGGCAGTAATGAAACTCAAATTTGAAGAGGCAATTGCTGTACCAGAATCTGCGAGGCACTCCGTAGCAGATTCAATTGATTATGATTCTATAGGTACTTTTCTTATTGAAAAACGAATTACTCTATATATACATTCGTATTTTTATCCCATTGTTTTTATTCTCTTCCTTCTGCTGAATTTGTCTGCGCATGTTTAATTTCGCAAGAAGTAGGCCTTTTCTTACGGTTAAGTTTCCTTGAAAATTGCATAGAGGCTTGCAAAGTTAAATTGGGCTTTTTCTATGGTCAAGCCCTCTGGATATTCATACCGGTTTGAATATTTGAATGCATCTTGCATATTGAAAAGATATAATATGTTTGTGATGCTGCTTGCCATCTGAAGGCGTTACTGAATTCTAAAAAGTAGGGATCCATTGCAATGGAGAGATATTAGGAATAATTGGTTGTCCTTTTTTAGTGATTGGTATAGTTTTGTGAGCAAGAGAAAATTTTGATGAGGAGCAGGGTTAAATTGGGGGAGTTTGAAGTTTCTCCTGAAAAATCACTTATGTAGAAGTCTGCCTTGTGTACTGTTAGCTGAATCTTTGACTCTTAGGAGAGAAGATTAGTTGGCTTGGTAGTTTAAGTTTAATACATTCTTATTTCCCTCCTTTCCCATTGAAGCCCAGTAAAGATTCTTCGGGACAAAAGAAGTAGATGAAGTAAACGTTCCTCTGATATTTCATTGAAAAGGTCATCTTTTTAGGTGTCATTTGACAAGTTAAGAGGTGAAAGGCACCATTAAAGTTATTTTGATCTACAAATGGATGCTGCACTACTTTACGGGTATGATCCTGCTATTTGGCCCAAAAAAGGGGCTTTGAGAGGGTTAGGTCTTTAGAATTGTGTATGAAGCAATTTCAGAACCTCTATGGTTTAGAAGTTGTCGAGAATTATGCTAAGTTTCTCTGAAGGTATGAGGAATGCATCAAGGTTATCGTTGGGAGTTTCACATTTTGGGTTTGCTGGAACACATTGTGGTGGCATAGTAGTGACATTTTTAAAGTTCTCACCGCCTACCAATGTCATTCTGTTTCTATCAGAATCATATTTTGTTTAAAGATTGAATCTTCGATAACATGGGGAATCATAGCTTTCCCTGTCAAGAAATATTGGGGAAGCACCCTATCTTGGTCAAGATCATCTAAGAGCAAAGCTTATTTAAAATTGTGGAATTCTTGGATGAATAATGGATGGTCAACATCTATTCTGGGAAACTTAGTATCAAGGAGACCATAAATAAAGCTTTCCTTAATTCGATGATGAAATATTTATTTAGTTGTTAAATCGCATTAAGGAGTACCACTAAAATATTTTAAATATTTTTATCATTATAGGAACGGTCCCCAATTCATCGTCTTTGCCCACCCAAGCGGCTGTAGCTTCTGTAGCAGTTGCAACTGTGGCGGCAGTGGTAGTGTTGGTGGGAACTGCAGCAGCTGCAGTTGTTCTGATGCTGCTGGTGTGTCTAGGGGCCTATTGGTGGGGTTATGGTGGTGGCCTCTTTTCTAGGAGTTCAGATGTTGACCTAGGTTTGGGTCCATTGAATTTTGAAAATACCTGATCTGTCATTCTTCTAACAGAAATATCGGCATATTTTTATGTTAATTGGAGGATAAAAGAGCGTTCTTTGAAATTAGCAAATGGAAATTCTCTTGTATGTTTCCTGTTTTTCAGTTTTTAGGCTTCTGATGTGATCATACTTTGAGAGGGATGATATGCTTTATACTAGATAGTTATGATAATTAGTGTCTTTTTGTGAAGCAAACAAGATACTTGTTTTATGTAAAGTGGTTTTCTATGCTTAGTTACAGTATGGAGAGGTTAGTGTCTGAGTAAATGATTCTTAATACCAAAGTAGAAATGCATATGAAAGGAGATTCGGGACATTCATAGTTTTTATTTTTATTTTTATTTTTTAGCTGCTTCTTGCTCCCAGGTAGCGCAAATAACAATTATTTTATTGGTTTTCTTTTCTTCCTTCCTTTCCTTTTGAAGAGACACTCCATCAATTCAGCCTCAAAGTTTGATATTGGCGAGGATTTCTGGAAAGTTGGAATGGTTCATTGTGAATGTGAATTTAGTCCTTCCAAAATCTTAGTTATGCTGTTGATGTTTCTGTATATGTAAACTTCTGTAATTTTTTAACATGAAATTGTCTTTTTAAATGTATTTCCTTTCCTGACTTTCTCACATTATGCAACTTTTAAGATATGACTGGCTGTAGTGTCTCGAGTTTTTGCAAAATATGCTGGATATGCAATTATCATGAATCCTATGTCCTAAGCAATTTACTTGGCAAATTAATTTTTTCATGGATGCAGACTTTAGCAACTCTTTTACTATCATTCTACATAACAAGTGTAATTTCTTCACTTTTCTTTTTTTGTTTGTTCTAATGCAGATGTGGAGCCACAGTATTCTGGTGCAAGAATAGAGGGAGATGTCGTTACGTTGGATTTTGTGAAAAAGATGATTGAAGATTTTAAAAGTCAAAAGTGCTTACACAAGAGGTATGTTTGGCGACAATAAATCGCTAGTCAAAATTGTTTCGGTATTTCCTGGGCTCAGCATATTGCAATGCTGCAGATATGCGTTCCAGATTGTCTTGCAAACAAGAGAGATGTTGCGGGCATTGCCTTCTCTTGTTGATATAAATGTTCCTCATGGAAAACACTTCACCGTTTGTGGTGATGTACATGGTCAGGTAATTTTCCTTTACATCAGCTTCCTTAACCTTAAGAATTGGCACTTGCTAAACCTAAGCATTATGCAGAAGTACTGGTGGCATGCCAGGTGGTTACTTTATGATGAGAATGCTCATATATTGAATGTGATTAGCTGCCGAGGTATTAGCCTTTCATGCGTAAAAACTACATCTCAGAGTTAGTGCTGGAGCTCTTTGTCCAGAATTGCTGTCAATTTACTGGCTTAAATTGTAATCTTCTTGATTTCACCAATGCCGCAATGAAGCCTGGATGAACAAACTATGATATATTTTCCCATAATTCATCATTATTGTTAGTATTACAGGGACGTCAAATTTGAAAATACAAATCACTGACAGAAAGGATCAATATAGTGCACTGTAGCAAGAACGCCTACTCTATTGAACTTTGGAGTTAATGACAGCCTAGTGAGAACTGTCGTTATGCTGAGTTATTAATTCGCTGTTCTTTGTGCTTGGTTGATTGAATTAATTGAACAAAATAATTACTGAGTTTTATATGGGTCAACAGCACAAGGGTTTTTCTTGTTTTACTGGTAGATTTGATGGGCCGAAACTGTATACAAAAAGTTAGCGTACAAGGTGGAGTTCATGAATATTTTTTTGGCCAGTAGAGCATTCATAAACATACTTTGGCAACTTTACTCCTGAGCAGGCAAGGGAGAGAAGAGCTGGGGTGGTGTTTCTGATGTCTCATTTACCTAACGGATGCAGTTCTGTGCCAGTGAACGAACCTCATCATGCCTCTGTTGGCATGAATTGCTTGGTCGCTGAAGTTTGCTGCGCTGCACGCACTGTCTTCCTTTCTGACATTTCTTAATGGTGGTGATGTTGACAGTGAGTAGGACATATAGGAATTTCTGACAGTAGACTGGTAGAGAAAAGTCACTTGCAGGAGAATGTAGGTGCTTGGTGAACCAAATGGATAGAAATAGGCATGTAGGGAATAAGTTTACAGTGTACTCAAATGGCCATTAGAAAGGATATGGAGATAATGTTTATATATCATTACCTGCTTTGGGGAACAGGTTTCTGATGCCTTATAAACCATTGAGCTTTATTATTCCACCCAAGTTGGTACTTATGTCGAGTGGAGATGATAGTTGATTGTGCACAGTGTGTAAGATTGATTCAGCACTCTATTGGCTTTTGCATTAGAAGGTTTCATCTACCCCCCTTTTCCTCTCCTTTGCTCTCTTCTTCTGCAGTTGGAAGCTTCATCCCTTTTTTTTAGTGGGGGATTTTGCCCCTCGTTATAGTGGCTTGAGTGCCGTAACATCTTCAAGATAATGTCTTTGATATCTTTATGTTGAACATTGTGTTGTAAGTCTCATTACTAGATTGTACCAAGTTACTGTTCATTTACCATCGTAAGTTAAATTGTACATTGAGTAAATATAGATATTTTATTCTCTTTTTCTGTGATCGCTCATACTTCTGGAATTGCCTGTGTTGCTCCTTGCTGAAAATTGTACTTCTACTTGGTTTACCAGTGCTAATTCATTCTTCATATGCAGTTCTACGATCTTTTGAATATCTTTGAGTTGAATGGACTTCCCTCAGAAGAGAATCCTTACCTATTTAATGGTGACTTTGTGGACCGAGGATCATTTTCTGTGGAGGTGATCCTTACCTTGTTTGCTTTCAAGTGCATGTCTCCATCAGGTAAATTCTCCCTAGTCATGCTTTCAATTTATAATAGTATCATTTTCTCTGAAAGAGTAGCTATGTCATTTCGTTTCTGTTCACAAAAGCACCTTCTTATGGACTCACACTTTCATGTTTTCTTCGTTTCCTGTCACCCATTGTATTAGTCTATGCATCTTAACCTCTATTGAAGCCTGTTATAACCAGTGCAAACTGCAAGGCATGTTCCTTTTGGTTGTCTTTAAGATCTAAGACTTTTTGAACTTTTTCAGCTATATATCTTGCCCGAGGAAATCACGAGAGCAAGAGCATGAACAAAATTTATGGCTTCGAGGGAGAAGTTCGATCCAAGTTGAGTGAAACATTCGTCGAGCTCTTTGCAGAAGTGTTCTGTTGTCTTCCTTTGGCGCATGTGATAAATGAGAAGATTTTCGTGGTTCATGGAGGTCTTTTTAGTGTTGACGGGGTGAAGCTTGCCGACATCAGGTCAATCGATCGGTTCTGTGAGCCTCCTGAGGAAGGTGAGTTGGCACATTTCATTACCTTTAATAGCCAGTAACAATCCTGTGTGCTGGGATTGTCTGTCACAGCCCCAGATCTCTCTCTGTCTCAGTGCCTGTCCCTCCTCACTGTCCCCCAGCCATCATTACCCAGCGTCTTCTATTTCACATGTAGAATAGGAGGTGTTTCAGATGGACCGTGCCATTTAGATTCCTTCTTGCTTTATATGTTATTATCTGATTTTGTCAGGTTTGATGTGTGAATTGCTTTGGAGCGATCCCCAACCATTACCTGGAAGAGGTCCTAGCAAGCGAGGCGTGGGTCTTTCTTTTGGTGGAGATGTCACCAAAAAGTTTTTACAAGAAAACAACTTAGGTATTATTTACCGTGCTTCAGATTTCTGTTTTCCTTGTCTGCTCGTGTGTCCTACTTGCTAAGCTTATCAAATTTATCTTATCATTTTAGTGACTTGACTGCCAATCTCCTCAACAGATTTAGTTGTGCGATCACATGAAGTGAAGGACGAAGGCTATGAGATTGAGCATGATGGAAAACTTATTACCGTATTTTCTGCTCCAAATTATTGTGATCAGGTACTTGGATATTCCGAATTGTTACGCTTTGTTCTGTTTGCAACAGTGGAGTATATGAACGGCAGTCCCATCTTTCTAGTACTGCCATAACTAATCGTTGAATCATTGTGCCTTTCTCTATCTGTTGATTTTCCAAAAAGGAAGAAAGTGTCTGTCTCGGTTTGTCATATGTAGTTATACATGTTATTAACCGTTGATTCGAATTTCTATCAGATGGGTAACAAAGGCGCTTTTATTCGATTTGAAGCCCCTGACATGAAGCCCAACATTGTCACATTTTCTGCAGTGGTCAGTTACTTATTTGACTTCCCCTTCTGTGGATTTTTGTCTTTTTCACCAGTGCATAGCTGGCTCGAGAAAGATTAGGTGCCCCAAGTTATTAATCTGAAAAGAAATCGAGATTGTTTTCACTAATTTGTTGGATTGCTTTGAAAAAAATTGCAGCCGCACCCTGATGTGAAGCCGATGGCATATGCAAACAACTTCCTCCGTATGTTCTCATAGTCTACGCATCTGATTGATTGATAAATGCAAGATCACTGCGAGTGGGACAGTATGAATCTGTATAAGCAGTAGTGCTCCTTGTTCTGGGTATATGAGGTGCGATTCATTTAGGCTGACCGGATGAAGAGATAGGTGCTATATTGGAAGCAGTTGTAGCTTGATGCGTTGACAAATTTTGCGCCCCCTTTTTTACATTTTTTTGAAACTCTCCCGGAGTCCCCGAGGCGGGTTTGGTGGAAAAAAAAGTCGGTGTACTGATGATGGCTGTCTCTTGTAAATTATATGGCTTCATTTTGGTCTTTACTGCCCAACAATTTGTGCTATCATCATGTTCTCTTTACTTTGGTCGTTTGAATGGGAAAATCGAATAAAGTTGCTATTCTTTGCTGGGTCGATGTTGTATTTTGTCCCCACAAGCGATTTTGTCTTCTCTTTGCTTAGGATTTGGACAGCGAGGAAACTGTGCAGAGTTATGATTTCCCTCGTCCAATGCAGCATCGGCTTGTGCTCGGGAGAGATTGTACATCGGCTCCTGGTTATCGTTAATGCAAGAACGAATCTCGGGGGGAATAGGAAGTCCAACATCAGGTCGGTCTAGCCGGTCGATGATGTTTGCATGGATCGAGAACATTGCGAATAATGAGGATAGCGTCTCCGTGATCTTAATGCATCGCAAGAGAGCATCATGTTTCGCCACGAACTGCAACGATACCGAGCACGCGGTTACTTACTATCGACGGATGAAATCCATCTCTTGGTCCGGTAAATTATCAAATCCCAAAGAATATTGTCAAGAAAATCGAAAGGCATTTGCAATTCGATGGCGCCTGCTTTCTTCCAAGTTTCGCATAATCGAATTGCCCCCCCCACAACGGCACAAATGTATGCGCTCAGCACCTCAATCAAGGGCACCCCGGACTTTTCACCCTAATCCGGACCCGGGTTGTCGTCGGATCTTTTGGGTCGGGCCGCACCCGAATCTGGACCCGTGGGCCTGCGCCCCCCGGGGGGGGTGGGGGGATCAGCAAGGCCCCAGTCGCATCGCTCCACGTGTAGCCCTCGGCATAAGCGAACCGTAATCCCGGTCCGCACCCGATCAAAAAGGGTCTCCTCCATCGTCGTCGTTTTGGAGGAAGTCGGGGGGCTTTTGGTTTTGGGGTGTTTCTCTCTCTTGCCTTCCCTGCTGCGCTCCTCGTCCATGGTTATAGCGAGCGAGGACCGGTGCGGCCCTTCTCCGTCGTCGTTTTTAGAAAAAAAAAGAACTCCCCCTCTTACATCATTCGATTCCAGCCAGGTAATCCCCTTTTTCGCCCTTTTTCTATTTTACTCCTTCGTCGCCGTCGTCGTTTTTGCGTTGGAATCTCTTCGCTTCGCACCTCTTCCCTCCCTCGCGCTGCGTCCTGTCTGTCTTGGCTTAGTTAGGGTTTCTGCAGATTTTTGGGGGGAGGTGGGGGGGGGGGCACAAAAACGATGGACGCTCGAATTGAGCCCTCCCCGAAAGCTCGGTTTTTTTTTTTATCAGGGGCTTGGGGACCTTAAGGCATAGCAATCCCTCGAAATGGGCTGGTCGATGAAGTAATTTTTGGGTTTTTAAGGACTTCATGTTGATACGGTGATTGTTGGGGATTCTGGTGAATTTCCATCCGGATGATGAGGACGACTAATGGAACTTAGGATTTCGATTTTTGGAAAAGCTTTTGAAATTGGGTTTGGGTAAGTGGGAGCCCAGCAGAAACGGGGGGGGGGGGGGGGTGTATTGCATATTTTTTCCAGAGCTTCCCATGTGCAAATGATTGGCTTTCTATACGTCCCCCCCAGTAGTTTACCTCTTCTCGGGTTGGCGAAAAGTTCGAACCTTTTTCCCCCCCCACTCCCTCCCTTTTCAGGTTTATGTGCTGGGCTTTTGGAGCTCTAATAAAGATGGCAATTTTTTTGGAAATGGAGTCGGTTTTGCCGGAGATTCTGGATATGCTTCATGCATTATCGAGGCTAAGATGTGTAATAATTGACTCGATTATGACTTAGCGCGCGTAAAAAATTGTCTTGGCTAAGATAGTTCGAGGGTGTGACTTTAACCAAGATTTGAAGTTTCCCACGCTAATTTAGCGCGATCGAAGTTCAACTTTGGAGCTGCTTTTGATGAAGCGGTACTTGTTAAGTCATTGGCTCCCAAGATCTTGCCATGGTGGACTCGAACGGCGGCGTCATAATACTTGACCGATCTGAGGTAGGAATGTGTGATTGGCAAATTTCTATCGATGCTCGGGGGATTGAGATAGGGAGGCACATCTTCCTCGGGTAACCATTTCCTTGAGTACCTATTTTTTGCATCAAGTGCACAGAAGATCCATTTTCAGTAAAGTATCGTCTCCGAAGATATTCATCCATTGAGGGTCTTAAAACAGACTCAACTAATCAACGGTCATTTGCTTAGATGCATTTAAGTAGCTCAATAGTTTTGCTCCGTACTTTAGGGTTGTCCGATGTCAAACAACTTGTGCTATCAAACTGTGGCAACTTCTGATGAACCCTTTCTCCTGAGGAGATTTGTGGAAGGAATTTTTTGTTTTCTGACAGAAATACAGAGGTTTGTGGACTCAAACTTTTGCAGAATATATCTTTGCCCTATTGCCCTTAGTCATGAAGGATTTTCAAATTTATTCTGCTTTTAAGCATGGATAACTTGGACCTTGGAATTTTTCCCTTCGATGGAATTCTGTGACCCTGGCAGACTTTGAGGAATTTCAGATATCTTGGATGAAGTAGAGAGCATGGAAAGGCTTTGCTGAGGGAGGGAGGGAGGGATTGTTCTGTTTGTTCTTATGCACCATGTCTATTTTGCTCACTGGAGTAGAATTGAGCTCCATTTCTCTAAGTTCAACTTTATGGTTATTCCAGTCAAGGGAGAGAGGAACTTATGTGCACTCAGAATTTTAACTGTGAGTTATATCCACGCATGCTCCTGAGGGTTGCAAAATCTTAGGATAGTTGACTTTAACTCAAAAGTCGTACTAATAGGCTTTACGTGCTGTGTCTGATTGGGCAGGAAGTTAATCAATGGAATCAATGGAAGCAGTGGTGGTGGAACCCAGTGCAATCAACCCCGGTCCGATTGATGTATCTGTTCTTTATGATCAAGATAAGCATGTCTCATCAGCAGTTTGGGATGGACAGGTGTAGTTCATAATATAGTCTTCACTGTCTGATGATGTCAAGTTTCCTAATGTTTTGCCAGTTATAATTAGTTCTTTTAAAAGCTCATGTCCACTAGATTGTGCTAATGCTACATTATCAAATGATGTTAAAATAAGTGAAAGCAATTTTGGAGGAATTTGTTGTAAGCAATAGACTATGATCACAGTTTCTTAGTAGAGCTCTTTAACCAAAAAACTGTATTTCATGAAGCGAGTGTATTGCATGGGGAGACGCCACAGCTAGTCATGTTTCAATCGGCTCCTTCTAGCATATGCCAAAGAAGCTAACTAGAAGGCTCCATTCTAGATGTTATAATTCTCACTTATAACGACTTTTGAAGAACTTTAGCTTGCATCTGTTGCAATTTTTACAGACTTGTAGCACATTGACGGACAATAGGATTTGGCACTTAGAAATCAGAAAATTCGTTCTTTGTCTTAGCAAATTTAATCTAAGGATAGTTGCTGGCAACCTGAGAAATTCCATCCACAAAGAAGCTATGGCTCCATTTTATGAATAATATATTTTTCTGTTTCATGTGGGTTTATCGTATAATTACATTTCTATTTAGGAGCGTGGTGCACTAAGATGTCATGAGCACACATCCAAGCTGGATCAGTGGAGACTCACCGCCAAACAGATAGAGTTAGTTGACAAGGCTGGATTTGGGTACTTGAGGTTAATTCCTGCTATCAGTCTGGACAATCCGCTTATCTCTGCTTTAGTTGAGAGATGGAGGAGAGAGACAAATACGTTCCACATGAATGTTGGAGAAATGACAGTAACTCTCAAAGACGTCGCTCTCTTGCTTGGACTTGCAATTGATGGAGACCCTGTCATTGGTTTCACATATACATCTTGCAGTATCGTCTGTGAAAAATTCCTTGGGAAAACCCCAGAAGCTGGGTATGCTAGTGGTGGCATGGTCAAGTTAAGTTGGTTAAAAGAGTTTTTCTCTGATTGTCCTGAAGATGCTCCTCTTGAAGATATTGAGCGCCATACACGTGCATACCTATTATATCTGGTAGGAAGCACCATATTTTCCACTACTACAGGGAACAAAGTCCCTGTAATGTACCTGCCATTGTTCGGAGATTTTGAACAATGTGGAAAATATGCTTGGGGTGCAGCGGCACTGGCTTTCTTGTACAGAGCACTGGGGAATGCTTCTCTTGCTTCTCAGAGTACTATCAGTGGCTGTTTGACCCTTCTCCAGGTTATTTGTAATTTCCTCATCTATTTCACCACACATTCCAGTGTTATGGCAGGTTCAACTGCTGGTGAAGCTGGAGATCAGTTTCATATTGTTGATAAATGCTTTGCTTACATCATGGATGTATATTCTCCTTAGACTTCATATGTGGTCATTTGACCTTTCTTAGTTTGACTTTGCAGTGTTGGAGTTATTACCACTTAAATATTGGGCGACCAAAGCTCAAACATGATCCAGCCCATGATTGCTTTCCTTACGTACTTAGGTGGAAAGGGAAACAAATTGGTCCAACAGCCAACCGTGATGTCGTTTTCTATCGAAAGGCATTGGATGCCTTGAAAGCATGTGATGTAAGTATCACTTTTGTTTCTTCCTCCTCAAACTTGTGCTATATGATTTTATCATTAATGGATTTTATGGAGTGAAGAGAATTCCAATTACATGGTTTTAGGTGGAGTGGCTCCCTTATAGACATATGGACAGTAGAGTAATACCTGAAGATATTAAAAACCATCTTAACCTGGGAAGATCGAAGACAATGTTGATATGTTTCGACAAGGCTGAAAGACACCTTCCAGATCGTTGCTTAAGGCAATGTGGAATGCCTCAGCATATTCCTGAGGACGTGCCGCAGTGGCAAAGGAAAAATCGCGGAGTTGATGGAGGTGTAGATTTATCAGGGAAGATGGAATTCGAGCTTAACGAGTGGGTGAATCGCAGCCTTAGTATTGCGGAAGGTGATGATAGCGTAGATGAGAGTGAATACATGCAGTGGTACCTAAAGATTACTCGTCGATTTGTGGGCAGGCCCATCTCACTTTCATCGGAGTTCCAAAGAACAGTAAGACCCTATCAATAACATTAAGTCAATTCTCATTGAACAGAATTTTAACTTTCTTGATTTGCTGTATATCTGCAGAATTCTGGTTTAAGGGATATAGCCCACATTGCCGACACATTCCCGATAGATGGTCTAGATCCCCAGCAGGTAGAATCAATATCAAGGATCAGGTATATTGCCCATGAATGTCTGAGGGGCCAGGTTGAAACCCCGGTCATTGGATCAGGTCTCGCAATAACAGAACTTGGTAAGAGGGCACGAGGTAAGGAAAAGGTTAGGAGGAAGAGCTTTGTGAAACGAAAGCACAAGGATGAACCAATGGACTGCGATGGAACCAGTGACGATGATCGGTCACAGTTTCATGGTGCAGTTGTAAAAGTTGATGAATTGCCACTAGAGCCTACCGAAATTGACAACACTTCGCAGCTATGTAATTTGGACACAGAGGACCATTCACAGATTTGTCTTGTATCTGTTGATGGCGATCATGTGCAGCTCTGCGCCGTTACGGATGGAGAAGCCAATCATCAACATCCATTTCAAACCATTGGTGAACTCACTGATGTGGAGCCATTCCATGGAGTTGAGAATGGTGGATCACAGCTCGATGCCATGTCTATGGAAGTTGAGGAATCACAATTTTGCAGTGGAAATAAGGAGGTCCTTGATCCACATTGCCAGAATGCAGCGGATAGGGCTGATGACTCACATTTGTCACATGTTACTGGCGATATGGAATCACACACCGCGGTGGAGGTGTGAATGCATCTTCCGTAATTGCAGTAAGTTGTTGGTGCTTTGCTTCTTCATCCATCACGACATATGAACAGTTCTTTTCATTACTCGTATTTGCTTTGGTCCGTCTTGGTGCATGACTTAACCCCCTCCCATTTCTATTTTTGATAGGAGGCATCACAAGACTGAGCGGGGCTTCTCATGTACTATCTTAACCACATTAACGTGAGGTGATGTCAGCCGTGAACGCTCTGATGTCTGCAATAAGTTAGTTTTGGCCGACTTATATATGTTCTGTGCAATACCTGAGGTCGAGATCCTTCAACAGTTTTTGCTGATAAACCATATCAGCATCAGCTTTATTTGAACGCCGGGGAGAAGCTCAAGTTTCAGTCTTGAGAGGGTAGTTTTGTTTTAATTTTTTTTGTTCTTTCATAAGCCACTATGATTGATTTAGTAAATGTTAGACAAACTTTTTGTAGGAGCTTTAGCAGCATGCATCCGCTTGTTTTATATTCAAGGCATGCAGAAAGGTTCTGTACAGAGCTCTTCTCTTGGCTTGTTGTGGTAGTGTGATATATTTGTAACATAGGTATGACCGAGGCAATCTTCCCTATTCATATTCTGATAAATAGATTCTAAACTAGTGATGAAGGATATATTTGGTTTCCGTTTTTTTTTTCCCTGTTTTTTGGTTTGGTTAACCAAAAGATTGCTTTTCATTCTCTCATCTAATTGTTTTGGTTTGGTCTTTATTTTTTGAATTTTTGCACTTAACAGCTAAATTAATAACTCTAAACTAGTGATCTTTATGTTTTTCAAGAGAGACGTTGCTCACAGTGATCTGTCAATTTAGGTACCTGGTATGTCTCTTTTCATCGGGCTGCCACAAAACCTAGAAATTATTGTTACTGGGATTTATGAAAAAAAAATGGGGAATTTGTAAGAGGGTTGAACGGGTCCCATTTCTGGGAGAGTGGTACAACAACGTATGACCATTGCAGGTTCTGCTAGATTTGTCTGGGGAAGTAATTCACTTGAATTCAAGTTCATCTAGTAAAAAAGTAAGAATGCGATCTAACGTTCTAGCTTGCATATGTTTTCTAGGAACGCAGAAGCCACACACATGCATATTAAATAAAAAAATAGTAGACATTTGGAAGTTTTGAACTTGAGTCGAGCTTGTGCCGACCCCGTGGTGCGCTCGATCAACGGATAGTTTTTTTTTTTTTTCCTCCTTTCCTGTTGTAGTTTTTTCAATAAAAATCGAAATCGGAAGTGTATAAGGCGAAAAGAACACCTGGTAGTTTACACATGAAAGTCGAAGAGGGATTCCGTATTGAATAGGACTATGGGAATTTAACCGCGGTAGAGAGACATTGGCTAAACTGATCTATAACTCCCAAAACTATAGTTTCGAAGTGAATTTTCACCATATTGACTACTATTTTGGAAAAGCTCAGCACTCAGAAAACCCCTGGCGACGCATGATCTCAACTTTTTGCCAGTGTAGAGAGAGCAAAAGAAAAAAATGTGCCTTCATCTGCTTTCGGAAGTCGGGCAAAATGAAAAGGTCTTTCAGTGAGTAGTGAAAGCAATGTGAGAAGGGTGAAAGAATTTGCGTGCGCTCGAAAGTTTGACTATGATGCTGTGGCATTGTTCATCTGAGAAACTCAAAAGTTTTCTTAATCTTCCATTAATGATCTCTCTCTCTCTCTCTCCCTCTCCCTTTCAGACACACACGTTCTCATGGCTTTAATCATGTTCACGTGTCTGCTGATGGAGTGAGACATGCGCTTTAAGTTTCCCATTCGAAACACCAGCTCCCTCCCCTCAGACAAGGGTGTCTAATTTTTCACATCCGTGCTGACCCTACCTTGGCTTCAAAATCTCACTCATGTCATATGACCCACCATCTTTAATCAAACTTGCCCCACCTATCATTTCAGTCACATCTCTCTCTCTCTCTCCTTGTTGAGCTCTGTCACTCACCCATCAGATGAAACCCACTTGGCTTCCAAATTCAGTCAAGCTTACTACCACTGACCACAGTTCAAATCCTCAGCCACCATGCTTTCGTCTCCCTCACTCTCTCCTCTTCTTCTTCCCTTCCTCGTCGTGTTCTTCTCCTTACTGCCTTCTTGTTTCCCTTCTCTGTCCATCAATGCCCCTCCGAAGACCACCGCGCCACCACCACCACCTTCTCATACAAGCACCAGCTCTGGACCAAACACCATGCTTCCCTCGGAATCTGAGATCCTGTTCAAGATCATGGAGTCCATGTCCTCGGACCAAAACTGGAGAGCCTCGTACCCACACCCATGTGGGACAGGCTCGTCCTGGCCTGGAATAGAATGCAAACCCGGCAATGACAACCACCTCCATGTCTCGAGGCTCGACTTCGGCACACTTCCTAACCCAACCTGCAAGCCCACGGCCACCTTCCCTTACCTCGTCTTCTCTCTCCCTCACATTCAATCCGTCTTCTTCTTCAACTGCTTCACCCACACCAGGACCACCCTCTCTGTTTCGCCGAACCGGCTCCTCAATTCCTCCCTCCAACAGCTCAGTCTCAGATCGAACCCTGCTCTCGTCGGTCCAATCCCACCCCAAATATCCTCCCTCAAGTCCCTAGAAGTCCTCACACTGTCCCAAAACCGCCTCACCAGTTTCATCCCGGTTGAAGTGTTCAGCCTGGAGTCTTTAATTCACCTCGACTTGAGCTACAACCTGCTCATTGGCACCATACCTTTCCAAATAGGCAATCTGAAGAACCTTGTGGGCCTTGATCTGAGCTACAACTCACTTGGTGGCTCAATCCCGAGCACAATTAGCCAACTGGGTCAGCTTCAAAAGCTTGACTTGAGCTCAAATTCACTCATAGGTAGAATTCCTGACACCATCGACAAGCTAAACTCTCTGGTCTTCATAGCCCTGAGCAACAACGGACTGAGAGGAAAATTTCCCACCGGAGTGTCAAAGCTGCAGAATTTGCAGTACTTCATCATGGAAAACAATCCAATGGACATACCTCTTCCCGTAGAGTTCGGTATGCTTGTGAAATTGCAAGAGCTGAGGCTTGCCAATTCAAGGTACTCAGGGACTATCCCTCCTAGCTTCACTCAGCTCATGAACTTGAGCACGTTGTCTCTCCAGAACAACCAGCTGACTGGTGAAATCCCCGTCGGGTTCGGGACTCTGTCCCACATATACCACTTGAACCTGAGCAGGAACTTGTTGACTGGTGTGGTCCCATTTGATGCCAGCTTCTTGAAGAGGTTGGGCAAGAACTTGGATCTCAGTGGCAATCCTGGGCTGTGCCTGAATCCCACCGAAGCATACAGTGTCAAGATTGGTGTCAATGTTTGTAAGACCAGCAAGAACGGCTCTTTGATCGTGCCAATGAAGCAATCTGAAGCTGCATCTCCAATTCTTGATTGGTTCTACCTTATTGGTGTCCTGGGTATTCCCCAAGTATTGTTTTCAGCATGGTTTTAGTGATTCGTCCCAGTTACCTCTTCATATTCCGTCTTTTCTGTCTGTCCATTTTATTTTTACTTGTTCGTTTAGTGGGTTTTATTTTAATTTGAAGGGCAGTTAGGCACTAGATTACTTAGATTCTACTCCATTTAGCAAAAAAAAAGAGATTTATACTGTAGAATTTACTTCTGTACTGCCCATACTAGTACCAATCTTGTGAAGCATTATCATCTTAGTTCATTCTATTTTGAATGGGAAGGAATCCTGAAAGTCTCCATTTTGCGCTTCGTTTACACTTGGCCCGGAAGAATTAATGAGACTGGCCATCTCATGCTTCCTTGTGTCCATCGTTTAGACAAGTTTCTTAACAATGCAAGCGATCCGACGCCAATCGCACACCAGACCCACAATGATCTAATATTTGGGGATGCAAGGAATTCCGATATTCTTGTAATCTTCATCGGCATCCATGAAAGCAAGATTACGTTAACTAGAAAGAGAAGTTCGTCCTCTAATCCTCATCTCCCATTTTATACAGCTAAGTCATTGGATAGGGCTATCAGTACAACTTTCGTTTCTTAACGGCGCAACGAACTCCATATATTATCAGCACTTGATTTCTTAGGAAAACAAAAGGTCATTGTAGGAGTTTATTGAGTTTGAATGCTGGCAAGAAATCAATACGAAAGTTGAACTAAAAGATTAAAGTAAAACTTCCCTGGAGATCTTTATGTCTGCCATGATGCGATCTCTGGAAAATTACACGAGCATGCCAATGAAAAAACACATCATCTGACACTGCTTGTGAAGGACGTGAGGTCTCCTGTCATAAAGTCGACTCTTCACACTTACGTGTCAATCAAATAGTCTCTTTGCTGGTCCCCGGTTCAACTTCTTTCCAAAAGAATTTCGGGCAGTTTCCAGTTTTCTTGGCTAGTTCATAATCCTAGAATTTCGGGCTAGAAAGAACCCAAGAAAATACACATCACAAAATAAATAAATAAATAAATTCAACAGGTGATGTATGCTGCCAGAATGATCTTTTCTTTAATGTGTTCTTGTGGTTTTTGTGACAAAACATGTTCACTCGACGCTTTCTTAGACCGTTTAGTAAGGAAATTAGCGTGATTAATCGGGATTTAGAAACGAGATATATAGATCCAGGGGGAGTCTTTCTTTTTAAACCGTATGCATTTCCAATTTCGCTTACAACTTTTACAAGAGTATGTTCACGAGCGAAACGAAAAGATCAAGTCTTGTTGTGAAAAAAGAATCAAAAGAATGGACAAAGCACTACTTGCCGAAACAGGGCAACATGATCATCGCCAGGGAACCAAAGCTCCAAAGACAAGGAGGCACAGGATCCTACGTACCATGTGTATACTAGGATTCAATGGCATCTTCAAGTTGGGGGGGTAAAATCCTGTGAAGCCTGCTCTGCAACAGTGGCGATCCATCATCCAAAGCGATGCGTCTTTCGATCAATGATCGGCCTAGATTGTGGCTCCTACAAGAGCTCGAATAATTTGATCACGATTTTTGGACCGGTGCAAAAGCCGAATGAACTTTTCCAAGGGTCGGCGAATCCGAGAATTAAGATGCATAATTCAGCGAAAAAGATCATGGTGTTCTCGTTAGCATTGGTAAACAGTAGCGGGTCCGCGGGAAAAAGTAAATGCATCGACAACCATTAGTTTTCTTCCTAATTTAAGTTGTTTAAGAAGTAATTTAACGGCACTCGATGACCAAATCGATCATTTGGATTTACCAGCGGTAAACAACAGTTGCAGGCGATGTGAGGGACAGGGGATTCGTGAAAAGATGGGAGAGGTGAAGAGGAAAACAGAAGGGGGAGTGTCCTTTGATGAAACAAGACCACCCACTGAGACTGAGAACAAGGACACCTTGAGAGAGAGAGAGAGAGAGAGTGCTGGAACCCACTCTTTGCATTGAAAAAGGTTTCAACTTTCAACTTTGTCAACAGTGCAGTATCTGTATACGTTTTTTGTCACCCATTTTGGATCATCTTTTGTAGTTATTATACCCTCACTTTTTCAACCTCAGCATTGCTCTCTCTCTCTCCTCTCTTCCAATGTGATCAACTCTCTGATCTCTTGGACTACTCTGTGGATTCATCAAATGAAAATAGTTATATGGACTATGTGCTATTTTGTGTGATGCCGGTTGAGATATATGCATAAAGTTGGTTAGAATTTGCGCCAGATTGAGTCGTGCGGCACACTCGCGCTCGAGTTTTACCCGGTAACTAATTTTCTATGGTCACTCTAGCAATTATAAAAAAAAGAGTACTTTGTCATACTTAATAAGTAAATGACATCGACACGTAATAAAAGATAATATGTTGATCGATACTCTTCGGGAATCGGGTTAGTACTTGAATATGGCTGAGATTATTGAAATCTTGAATTGAACTTCAATTACTTTTATGGTGTTAAACCCTCTTCATTCTGTCTCTCTCAATTTTGATGACTATGTGAACATATGATTGCCATTACGCTCTGCGCAAAAACGAGGTTTAAGCAGGTAGTTAAGGATATAGCAAAAGCATTCCACTCAGAATCCTAGTCACAGCAGTCACTTACTTACAAGAGATGTGGTTTTAGTGGTGTATATATACAGTGTAGACACAAGCTTAAACACTAGAGCTTGTGTCGGTCTGACGTTTCAAATCTCTTCCCAATGACAAGGTATCGCCTCGTTTTCTCAAACAGAATGTCAAGAAAACAAAAGTGGATGAAAGGTCTCATCTCATCTGATTTCTTCTTGTTTACTGTCTTGCATGTAGAGTGCAAAAGGACCCTCGCGATTTATCCGAACCCATGTTCATGTAAAGCCCTCCTCTTGCTTCAGGATCTGCTGAAAAGCATGTGCCTCGAGGACTTCAAATCTTTCGAAATGGGAAAATGACACAAATAGTCTCGAAATTTTGATCCAATATATTTAATGTCATCCCTCAAATTTTACTTTGCTCAATGTGGTCTTCGATATATTGGTCCGATATTCGGTGTAGTCCATGAACTTTAAACATTTTCATTTAATTTATGGACTACACCGTGTGTTTATTAATAGTTCATGGACCACATTGAACGAATTAAAAGTATACGGACGACATTGCGCATTGGACCAAGATTCAAAGACCATATTGCGCAAATTAAAAATTTAGGTACAATATTACTCATTGAATTAAAGTTTAGTAATCATTTGTGTAATTATCTCCTTCCAAAGTGTACCGTCGCTATGTAATTATTATATGAACAGGAATGGGGCAATGCTTGGTGGGCAACCATCCTCGGGAGAATCCATCCCACTCTTCCTCTTTAAAGAAAACAACAAACGAGCAAAAACAACCCAAAAGGAGAAGGAGGCTTCAAAACCTCCTCTCCTCTCGCCTCATAAAAGGAGGACACCAAAAACACCGCAGTAAATGCTCCCAACTTGGGTCATGTCTAGTCACAAAACAACACATTACACCCATCACACGCTGTACACCCATTTTTCATGTTGTCACAAGTGTTGCCACAAGGGAGAGTGAGGGAGAGATGTTGAGATTTTCCTTTTCTCTTTTGTATTGATTGCTTTTGGGCATAAAAGAAAGGAGAGATGAAATAGTGAAAGATGACTGCACGAGGAGGGGTTAGGAACTTAGGACAGCATCCATCCCCATCCCCAATTAAAGCAAAAAAAAAAAAAAAAAAACAGAAATTAATTTAAAAGAAATGAAAGTGAAATCAGTCGCTATCACGCACCTCCTTCTCTTGAGCCAATTAAAACAGAGTGTATCAGAGCCCCACGTGGAAAGGCCAGGTACTGCATTGCCTAGTAGTATAGTACGGCACATGTCAACAAGATCGACCCTCCATTCGTTGACTAGGCAATTGCGGAGAGATATTTGTGGCTGATCAAAAAGGGTGCATGTTCCTAACCGGCTTTTGCAACCATTCCCCTTTATATGTCCATTTGGTACAGCTTTGATTTCATTGCTACCGCGGTATGCAATAATTACGCCATCATTTTGTTATGGTATGTAAGGGCGATCGGTTTTCAAGAGCGGGTATATTTTCAACCTGAAACTTGAAAAGTACTTTATCATGGTTAATTTTTGGTTTTTGCAATCGGGAATTGACCCTATTGACCTTAGCTAGGACTTTTTTTCCCCTTGTTTCGTTTTATGATGTATACAACATGCATGTGTCAAATATGAATATAAATCTTATTGCTTAAGGACAATATGTCAAACATATTCAATTTTAGCAAATTTTATTGTTTTTTTTTTAAAAAGAGTAAATGAACTTTCTTAGGATTATGGACAATCCGGTTCCGTTCCAGGTTTTGCCCTGAAACAGCCTTGCAGGTTCCAGGTTCCCAAATAAAACCGACCAATTCGGGGTATAGAATCGGGAACCGAACCAATCAAGGCTGATCTTTAGTTTTTGAAACTGGAAACTAGATCGATCCTCTTATGAACCGGCCCGTTCAATTTCCGAGTTGAATCGGTCTGGTTGCTCGCCCCTAGTAGCACGTGTATTTCGCAACACGAATCATAAAGTTGTTGCAACATCTCGAGAAACTGTGCTGCATTTGTTGAAGGCATTATAACTTTTTCCTCGACAAAATAGTAGCATTCAAATTTGACGTAATTGCGTGAGCCATGACAATGATCGAACAGCCCATTGGGCCGGCTAATCCATCACGCAAACGGGCCTGGATGAGGCCCATTAACTCACCGGCCCCACGCGTCCCTCGCCGTCGCCGTCGCCGTCGCCGTCGCCGCCTCCGCGTTCTTTCTCATCGACGCGACGGCCCACCCACCTTCGCTCAGCCGGCGTCCCTCGCCGTCGCCAATCATCGAGTCGCTTGTGCGGTGGCAGAGCGCCGTGGCGGCGAGGCAACCTGAACCGGGTCCGCGCCGTCCCTGCTCGCCTGAACCATCCGCGGACGCTCTGGCGATCCATCACCGCGTTCACTTCTTCGAGGCTCCTCTCCGACGCCGCTTCTCGGCCTCTTCCCGCGGCCGCGACCGGCGACTCTCCTCCTGCTTCCACCTCGCCCGGGTCCTCGATCCTCCGGAAGCTCCGGGAAGTCCGAGTATGACGCGAAGAGTTCGTCGTCCATTCGCTCGTCTCTGAAGGATCCCGAGCTGGTCAAGTTGTCCGCCATCGCCGATACACGGTCAGTTCGTTGATCGTTAATTCGTATCTTTCGTAAATGGCGATTTTCCCGATTCAGCACGCTTGCTTTCCTTCACTTGAATCCGACATTGTGTTCTTGAGCTGAGCAATGTGGAATAGATTTCGGGAATGTTGAGCGTGATCCTCTGCTGCTATCGGCAACTTGTTTGCATGGTCAAGTTTTATTGCTTCAAGTGGTTTAATCACGGGATGTCTGCATGCCTGATGATGGGGATGAGGTTTCAAGTTCACCACGCTCGGTTGAATTCAATCGCTTGAGACCAAACCTCCGGCAAAACTGCAGTTTCTGCAATCATTATAGTCGATAGACATCTAGGATGCAAAAAATTCGCTTGTATAGCGTGGCTTCCATCTGATGCATTGAACTCTTCTCTTCTTTTGTCAATGGCTCTTGTTATTCTGATTGTTCTTGTTTGGATATCATTGTTTTTCTTCTGGCTGAGATTGTTTGGATATAATTGTTGTTCGCTGTGAAGCCTGCGATACTTTTACTTGATAATTAAGTACTAGGTCGATGCTGCAAGTCCTTTTAGGAGGGTTTTCCTGGTTGACATTTGAATCACTGGGTAAGATGATCCCATAACATTTGTTGTGTTGGCATAATTAAGTATAGTTCATTACAGATTTTTTTTTCCTGATGAACATATGGACTTGAGTGATCCAAGTGTAATGTCTTCGTTGACTGAAGCGACATTTGCTCAAGATCATGATCAATTTTCGAGTCTTATCTGGATGTTTGTAACATTCTTTATCAGCAAAGGATTCGCAATTCATATCGATATCAAAATCATCTATTCATTTTTCAGTTGGATCATGTCCCTCTGATGGGAGAACTCCATTTCTCTGTCAAGTTTTTAACTCGTCCACTGCTTGATAAGACTCCCCTCATGGTTATCGTTTTTGTCCATGTAAAGACCAAAATGTTCAAATATTTGATCTAAGAATGCCTAGCTGGAACTTTCAGAGGATAACATCACAACTGGTGATTATATTGCCATCAATCCTAAATGTACCACACATACTCTTGCAAGTCCTGGGGTCAGCAAAATATCAATACTGTGATGCGTATAATTCTCTTCCGTTCTCTTTTTGGATCAGATTCTTGTGTTTTTCAATGTTCTCCTATCTTGCAGCTTAAGGTCTTTGGATCACTATCCTTGGGGCTACAGTATCCGTTTAGCAGGATTATGTATCATTTTAAATAAGAGTCTGATGATTTACATGTGGAGCATATGATTCCAGAACTCCAAAAGTGACGGTGCAGAGAACACAGGGCTAAATGTGAGTATAACATTGGAATGATAGAAGTGCTATAGCCTTAATAAGGTACTTGGGCAGAGACTTTGGCTTACAGTTTGCAACGTTTCCAGGTAGGTGTAGTTTCGTGTCTTTGGCTCACATGCAGTTGCATCACAATGACATGATAGCTTGCTCACTTCTCATGTAATAAGGGTGCAAGGTAATAAACCCAAAAAGAAGAGGTGTTAGAGTCATGGTATGGCTCAAATGTATTCTGCTGGAGGTGGTTAGCCGCAAGTGCTGTACTTTGTGGATGTAGGTTTCTCGAAAATATGGGGCTAACCCTATTGGTGGTGGTTACAAAGTTGACGTCTAGATCAGCAATTCAAGAGTCCTCCATGTGTATCTCTTGGCCTTTTTCTTTAGAAGGGGAGGAAAAAAGAAGGACAATTATGTATTCTTATTATTCCATCAGCCAAAACACATAAGTGTCTTGAAAGTTCAAGTGATTCATCCCATCCACAGAAAAGCTTTTTGAAGAACAAAGGAAGTTTGACGCAGTGATCACTTTGGAGGTACCTATTCTCTGCCCACATCACACACTAATTCGTTTTGAAAATCTTTTCTGTAATGTTTAACTTCGATGTTCTCAAATTCTTTGAAGATAGATTTGCTTCATTACTATGCCATCCTTCTAATTTTCTGCTTTTCAATTGCAGAATGAATTTTAGGATTCAGCAGCACCATCCTACCTTGCTTGTCGTGGGTGCTTGGTGGACATCGTGGATACAATAGATACTGAGAGGGTTTTCCATGTAAGTGCACTTGTGAATGACTAAAGGTAATAGAGCATGTAGCAGAAGCTGCTGAGTTTTGTAAGTCACTCTTGGCCTTGACTAGTCCTGAGGGAGCTACAGTGATTTCGACTACTAACCGTTCTATGAGAGCATATGCAACTGCTATTGTTGCTGCCGTGTACCTCCTCCGTGGGTATGTTTTTTTTTCCTCTCTCCTAGTTTTGAGCTAGTTTCATTCTCTTCTAGATATGATGGTTGATTGATTAGCTGACACAATCACATGAATTCCGAATCAATTTAGTTCGGCGACATCACTCGTTGGTTAGATCTAACATTTAACAAGGCAACGTACAAGGTACGCATCAGTGGTTGAGTTTCTTTACCCATGAATAACTAGTGTTGATCCTACAACTTTCTTCTATTAGTTTAAACCGCAATTGCATGCTTTCCGATTGATGCATGTTTTCACCATGCCTCAGTTTTTCTAATGCAATCAATATACTTTTGCCGAATCTTGGTCGTCCTTCCTCGGATTCATCCAGGTCAAAGGGACGGGTGGATCTGTGTACAGCCCCCTAGACAGGAAGGTGGTGGTCTCTTGCTGGTGATATTAGCGTGAATTTTATTGCTCTGGGAACAATAAACAGCCGTTGAATGGAAAATTCATGAGAAAAATCTGATGCTGTATTTTCCATCATGTATGAAATTAGATGATAATATCATTTAATGTGACGTAATAATAGTAATAATTTTTTTAAATTTAATTTTTTAAGCTAAATGAATTAATATGGGATTTTTTTCGATCAGTTTTTCTTGGGGACTAAAAATGGGCTCATGATGACGTGCCCATCCCATCAACGACATTATCATTTGATCCCAGAGAAGATGAACGTTTGAGTTTCTCGAGACGCTTTGGTTGTGTCCTACACGTCTCTTGACGGCCACTCAACGCGCCGCGAATACCCGTCCCTGCATACTCGCGCTCTGAACGGCGATGGCTTCGGGGTTCGGCCCACGTGTCGTTGTCGAAGGGCGAGTGGCGCCTCACGCGACTCCTCCGCTGAGGGAGCTTTCCTCCGGTCTTAGGCTCCGTGTGGGCCCCTCCTCCTGGGCTAAAGGCTTTTCGGGGAGGATAATGTACCCAATTAAAATGCCCACATGCTGACGGAATTGCCCCTCTCTTTAAAAGTTATTGGATTAGTTAATACGTTTATAAGTAAATCAATTATACGCGATTAGTTAATTTGAAAAATTGGTAAAATACGGTAAAATTTTGCACAGCGCAAGATCGAAATGTCTGTCCAAGTGTATTGGGCCATTCGTTTATGCTTGTTTTTTTTTTTTCCTGAAAAACGTTTGCTGATTGCAAAAATACCAAAACATGCATACTTAAATTTTAAATTTCGTGAAAAGATTATACGTAAATTTAGACCAACATTCACGTGTTTGAAATGATTTTAGATAACCTTCACAGGAAATTGCGTGAGCTGTAAATCATGAAAAAACAAAGAACTAAAAATAAAATTCAATCTAGACAACCGATTTAAAGTCCACCTTTTCGGTTTCATTTAGCTCGAGCTTCTTATCAAAGCAAAGTTCTCCCATATGAGGTCTTACGAACGAAGCCATGCTCTAGGAAATAACCTGCTAGTTACTGGTTGATATATTCACTACCGTTGTCACTTCGGAGAATGCGAAATTGAGTTCCGAATTAAGTGGCTATCGTGCGATGAAACATACGAAAGACAGACCCGACCTCATCTTTGTATTTCAATAAATATAATCAGGTCATTCTGATATAGTTATCCACAAATATGACAAATCAACGAACCGTGCGAAACTCGAATTAAAAGAGCGGCTCATTGAATAACGATAGTTTTCTCTTCTTTTTGGTTAGCACAAATAATAGTAATAATAATTTCATTAACGAGTATTTGGAACACTTGTCGAATACCCATTTAAAGAAAAAAAAATTATATGCACCGTCTCTCTCTTGTTAATCAACACATTGAAAAATCAAAACTTCCCCTTATTTAATACCATAAAATTGCCTCTTTAAAGTCGCGGATTACAGGTTTTTGAGATCTAGTAGGTCGAAGAGATGGCCAAAATGACCGACTGAGCCCGAGTCCAAACTTTTAGGGGTTTGGAATTTTCACGACTACTTCAAAATGTTCTGACGGGAATTATGGGCGACATATGCTTATATTCTAAATAATTCTTGTAATTAAAGGAGCAGATGGTAAATATGGAGGTCGAATCTAACCTCAAAACCTCACTTTCTCTTTGTTAGGCTGAATCTCAAATTCACTTAAATTTTTTGACCCAAAAAAAAAATACCCTTAAAACAAAAACCTCGCGATCCACGATCGATTTCCCACACTCCACTCCAACATATATATATAAAACTCCACCGTTCGCCGTCAACTTCTCTCCCTTCCCTCGACCTTTCCCCTTCGTTCCATTTTGTTCTTCCTTTAGCTTCCACAGTTCCCGGCTTCAACCGGCCGTTAGCTCCCTCCCGGAAGATGTCGAGCGCAGATTCCCGGCTCTCGGCTCGGGGCCGGCTGGCCGTCCTCTCGGCGCACCTGGCGGCTCCCATCGAGCCCGCGGCGCCGATCGTCGAGCCGAGCCGCGTCTCGGCTCAGTACCTGGTCCCGCCCCCCGGGAACCTCAGCGGCTCGCTGGCCGTCGTCGACGAGCGCACCGGCCAGAAGTACCGGGTCCCGGTTTCGGAGGAGGGCGCCGTCAAGGCCACCGAATTGAAGCAGGTTAGCTTATTACGATGTTGTGCGGAATTCGATCGTATTCGTGGATTTATAGGTTGCGAGATGAGCTTGGTCCGAGCTCTGAGAGTGTCTGATTTGGGCGAATTTGAAGTTTCGGTCGGGTAAATCGCGCCTGATCGCGTTGCCGATGGGCTTTTTTAAGGACGTAGTTGCCAGCTCGTGTTGTAGCATTTGTCTTTTTGCATGTTTATTTTGGGCGGATGTTGTGTCCTGACGTTTCGATGTCGCGCTTGTTACCGGCGATTCGACAGATAACAACTGGAAAGAATGACAAGGGGCTCAAGCTTTATGATCCTGGATACTTGAACACGGCTCCTGTTCGGTCCTCGATTTGCTACATCGATGGGGACGAAGGGATACTCAGGTACAGGGGCTATCCGATCGAGGAGTTGGCCGAGAGTAGTTCCTTCATGGAAGTGGCTTACCTATTGAGTGAGTGTTCTTTCTGCAATTTCTTTCTCTTGAATATCATTTTTTTTTAAACCTAATCTGAAAGATCCCCCAGCAAGCATGTATTGTCTGTTCATTTGTGACCCTTTGATGGGCACGATGAATTTTCTTTCATGAGATTTTGATCATGTTATGTCGGTTGAGAATTAAGTCTGTTTCCCATTGCAGTGTATGGAAATCTGCCTTCTGAAAGTCAATTAGCAGACTGGGAGTTTGCTATTACTCAACATTCGGCAGTTCCGCAAGGAATTCTGGTTTGTGCCCCATTCTCTCTGTCTCACCTTTTCCAGAAGTTCAGTACTACGAAATATAATTTGTGTAGTATGTTTCTTTCACAGTGGATCCTGCATTGCCTTGTCGTTTCCATTCTCCCACTCACCCTTTTCATCTCAAAAAGCAAAGGAGGAACTGATACACTTTTGCTATGAAAACTGGTGGTTTTATGCTAAGATTCAACTGTAGGATGTAATTCCGACCAAACAAAAAAAAATCTTTAGGCTGTAATTTAGCTGGTGATGGTATTGCTAGTGATATGGATGTTTTTTTTTTTACATTGGAAAATGTTTTGAGTGCCAACATGGCGCATGTTGTCGTTGAGTAAAACAGTTTTGATAATGCAATTTTTTTTCATTTAAGTTCAATAAAAAAATTCGTACTCTATGCTTTTTCAATTACATATCAAAGTGTCTTGTTACCTTTAGTAAAATTTAATGCCCAGAGGGCAATTGTGATTGTGAACAAGACCTACATATGCTTTACTTTGTCAGTCTTTAGATTGGTTGATCATGCTTCTAGCGATGAAATGTTTTGTCATGTCTTCCAGGCACTCTCTTTCTGATTTCTCCTTCCATTTCTGAACTCTTGAAATAAAACTCTGGCTCTTGCCATAAGTAGAGAAGGCTAGACCTATTTTGCATTAGGTGGTTGAGAGTAAGCACATAATATTGTTGCTTTCCAACGAGTGAGCTAGAGGGTGAACAACCTCCTGCTCTCTTTTTTTCCTTTTGATATAAAGCAAGTAAAATGCAATGATCTCATCAAATGTTTTAGACTATATGGAACAGAGATCCTCGATTACTCTCTCTGTTCTCTTGGTTTCTTTTCCCTTTTCAGCTTGACTGAGGTCCTTATAGGACTAAGCTTGTTAAGAGGGTGTGCTATAACTCTTACTTAGGGATGCTTGTGACTCATTTGTGTTTCATTGTGGGATTATTATGTTTCACTGAATCACTCTAATCCATGTTCTTTATGTAGGATATTATACACGCAATGCCACATGACGCACATCCAATGGGTGTACTTGTCAGTGCAATGAGTGCTCTTTCTGTCTTTCATCCCGATGCCAATCCTGCTCTTAGAGTAAGTTACTTGCAGGAAGCGTATTTTATTTGGAAAATGCTAGTCCTTGCAGTACTCCGCTCTCTCTGCTTTGCCATCATGATCTTGTGTTTATCATGTGATATTACCTCTAGATATTGCCTTGTGTATCTGTGAAATACTGATGTGCTTGTGACATTCGGTGTCTGATATAATTGTTTCCGAAATTAAAATGGTAGGTATGTGTGCCTGTTGAAACTTCTTCCGTTGACTTTCGTTAGACATTCCAATTAAAATTTGAGTTTTTAAAAACTTCGACCATCTTTCCAGTTCCATTGACGTTCCAGTTTTTAAAACCCTGTCTGTCCTGTAAAAAAGCTGTTGGATACTAGAATTGACATGTAGTTCGGCTTTTGGTCTTCAGGCCAGTTAAATGTGGCTTGTAGTTTGAGTTTCTGAAAAAGTCAATGCAAAATATCAATCTAATTAGTTTGCTAAATCTGAATAAGCTGGTCAGACGTTTCCTTACTCATATTTCGATTTATTGTAAATTTTTTTTTGTCTGAATGTTCATATAGGTTAGGGAGCTTTCTTTTTCTTAAAGTAGGGTGGGGTGGGGGTGGGGGTGGGGGTTGAAGGCGGTTTGGTTTGCTTGCCTATGCTAAGAGTACCTTTTCTTGGGTTTGCTTGCCTATGCAAAGAGCACCTTTTCTGCATGAACAAGATCTGCACAAACAAGATTTAGTTTATCAAATTTACGAAATTATCATACAAGTTATGCTCTTCAGTTATGTACAGCCATTATTCAATTATTCTGTTTACAGGGCCAAGATATTTACAAATCAAAGCAAGTGAGAGATAAACAGATTGCTCGCACTCTTGGGAAGGTTTGCTCTTAATCTCCTATTTTGGCTTTTCTGGGCCCTTCTATAGCTTCTCTTTTAACTTCATCTTATATGCTGCATATGAAAGCCTCAGCCTCAGTTGTCTAAGATTCACTCCTCTATGTTTGGCTAATATAAAATATTCTGTGAATGCAGGCACCAACTATTGCAGCTGCTGCATACTTGAGAATGGCAGGAAGGCCTCCAGTTCTCCCATCTAGTAATCTTTCTTATGCAGAGAATTTCTTATACATGCTGGATTCATTGTAAGTGTTGCTTTGTTTTGCGCTTTTAACTAATAAATGTTCCTTATTAGAGGTGAAGATAGAAAAAGGGAAAATGGGACTTATTGATCAGAGGAGAATTTTTACCGAATTTCAGGGGTAATCGTTCTTACAAACCTAACCCCCGGTTGGCACGGGTGCTAGACATCCTCTTCATATTGCATGCTGAACATGAAATGAATTGTTCAACCGCTGCTGCTAGGCATCTTGCATCGAGGTATTCATCTTTCGAGTCCTTACTGCAAGGAAACTTAAGTCATAAATTGGATGTATAATATTCTGCAACTGCTTGTGTAGTGGTGTTGATGTGTACACTGCACTTGCTGGAGCTGTTGGAGCTCTCTATGGCCCTCTTCATGGCGGAGCAAATGAGGTACTTATCTTGTCTGTTATATTATGATGAAGTCTGAAAAGGTCTCCTTTAGTAATGACATTCACTTTAACCAAAAAAAAAAAAAAAAAGAGGCGAAGTCTGAAACGGCTAAGTTGGACGCTTCTCTTGGACTTACTTTTCCTTGGTTTCTGTTTCACGAAGTAATGAATTGCCATCAGCTGAGGCTACTTATATTCCTGTAGGCTGTGCTTAAGATGCTGAGTGAAATTGGAAGTGTGGAGAACATTCCAGAGTTCATAGAGGGTGTGAAAAATCGGTAAGTTCATGGTTGAAATTGATGATCTCAGATGGCACGAAACATTGTAGTTGTGTTCATTGTTTAATTTGGTTTTTTTTCCAGGAAACGAAAAATGTCAGGCTTTGGTCATCGTGTGTATAAAAACTATGATCCTAGAGCAAAAGTCATAAGAAAACTGGCTGAGGAAGTATTTTCCATTGTTGGTCGGGACCCTCTAATAGAGGTAAGTTGCTCTGAATTCTCTTTCTCGAAGGATGTGTACCTTTTCTGCTACTGTCTTTCGGTATTAACAAGGAGAATACACTTATGTGGTTGTGAAAGATCATTTACATCAATCTCCTGTACATAAAATGGGCTCATTACCTGTTCATGTTTTTCAAGTTACTTTCTATGATTATGCTGCTTGTAACCCTTCACTCCACAAATAGGGAAGAAGTATGGAGAGATCTTTGCTATTATAGTCCTTAACTAATGATGCACTACTTCATCTTTGATCGATTTGTTTTGACTGAGTAGAAAGAAGTGTGTTTTTTCCTGTAAAGACAAAAGGTAATTTGACAGTGAAATTCGTCTTTCTTTGAAGATCGACACTTTTGTGAATTCTTTCTGAGAAGGAAAGAAAACCGTCATTGAAGCATCTGCTTTCCAAAATATACATATTAAGTACTGCCTACACATTCCGCATTAAAAACATGGTTTCGGTTTGTTCTCTTCAAACTTAAAGCTCTCATAACTTAGATAACTCTATGCTTGCAGCATTTATTGCTGTTCATATCGCCTCTCGACCAGTTGATTGTGTAGGTGGAGACAGCATGATCTTGATGATAAGAATAGGTTAAAAGATTTGTTAATGTGGAACAAGATTGCTTTGAAGTAACAATTGCAGAAAGGAGTTTAGGTATTCTGGAATATGCTGATGTGTCTACTCTGACTTTCGCTGCAGGTAGCTGTTGCTTTAGAGAAAGCAGCTCTGTCAGATGAGTATTTTGTGAAGAGGAAGTTGTACCCCAATGTCGACTTTTACTCTGGATTAATCTATAGGTACGTCGATGTCAGTGTGATGTTGTCATGCCTTTAAGGTTTAGGATGGCGGAATAATTAATTAATTCTGAAATTCTTTTGCAGGGCAATGGGATTTCCGACAGAGTTCTTCCCTGTTTTATTTGCAGTCCCTCGAATGGCTGGGTACTTGGCGCACTGGCGAGAGTCCCTGGATGATCCTGATACAAAGATCATGAGACCGCAACAGGTTAGCTTCTCTCCACAACTTACGCCGTATAATCTCTGAACCTAACCCTAACGACTGTTTTCTCGTCTTTGGTGTTGATCAAGAAAGTCCCAACCCACTCAGTTTAATGCGATTTTGTCGTCTGGTTGCTAATTTTCTTCCGGTCTCCTTCTCAATCATTAAACTCCTGTGATCTCTCTGGTCATTTAGGTCTACACGGGAGTGTGGCTGCGGCACTATATGCCCCTTCGAGAGAGAGCGGTATCCACCGAAGCCGACAGGCTCGGTCAGGTGTCTATCTCGAATGCTTCGAGGCGGAGGTTGGCTGGATCGGGAGTTTAGCTTATTAGCCGGGAGCCTTGGATTTTCCTTAAAAAGCTGGAAGGGATAACCAAGTGTGTCTATGTAAACCTGTATGGAAACCTAGCGGTATATTTCTTGAAGATGCTCGTTCGTAGCAACGCAATAATTGATTTACACTATTGATGAATATGACTGATATATTACTTTAGTGATTAAAGTTGAGAATTATTTGGAAATTGATTTTGCTCAGAAATGATTTTTTTTTTTTTATATTTGGGAACTGATTCTGAGCATTTGAAAGCGTTTAGTAATGATCCAAAATTTCCATTTTTGGAATAGAAAAATAATATAATTGCGTTTGGTAACGATACAATTTTTTTTTTATTAATAATATTTTAATATTTTTTTTTCTCCTCCTTCTCAGTCATGGCCTGGTCGCCGGCCAGCATTGTGGCTCTCGCAACTTAAGTGAGGGCTGCCCTCGTCGGATTCGACGATGGCTGGACTCTCGCGGCTTGGGCGAGGGTTGCTCTCGCCGGCCCTTTCCAGCCCTCGCCCGAGCAGGCGAGGGCCGCACTCGAGGCTCGTAGCCTGGGCGGGGGCCGCCCTCGTCGAATCTGGCGAGGGCTGGATTTTCGTCACTGCCCTCGCCACTGGCGGCCTGGGCGAGGACTGCGACGCCCTCGCCAGCCCTCGTCGGTGGCCGAAGAATGAAGAACATAAAGAACGAGAAAGAAGAAAAAAAAATTTCGTTTTCAATTCTGATTTTTATTCTCATAATCAAGAAGATATTTTTTTTTTGCTTTTTGATTCTGTTCCAAAATTGATTCTGGGAATAATTTTTTGCAAATTTGTACTCGAGAACAAAAAGTTTACTAAACGGATTTCTGTTCCAAAATTGATTCTAGGAATAAAAGAACATAAATTTTTACTATTTGGCAAGTTGCCAAACGGGCTTTTATATACCCACTGGCACATTTGTAATAGAGAAATGATTGCATAACGGTTTTTAATTTACTGTGAGGATAATAATTTATCGTGGATCACAAATAATTAAATAATAAATAATTATAAATTGTTGTGAGACCTATTCGTTTAAGAATTTGTGATTCACAACATATTGATATTCTCACAGTGATCTAAAGAGTATTATACTAGCAAAATTCTTCGTAATATTTTAAGAATAGGGCTCGAAAAAGAAAACGAGGTTGAGCTAAGCAATTGCACGACCCTCGATCGATTGTCGATTTGATTGTAGCATTCGCCATGTGGCTACCCGTTCTCGCGTTGTGAAATCGAACGTGAGAACACCATATCAAATTCGTGGCCAAAAACGAATGTGAAATCGAGAATTTGTCTTAGAACCACCGCACGTTCCCAAGCTATAGCCAATAGCCATCGACTAGGATACATATAGCTAATCCAATCTCCTCATAAAAAGTTTTTTTTTAAAAATATACTAACCATATAGTATCAGTATTTCTAATTTCTATAATGGTTCGATGTGAAAACAATTGATGGACCCATTACTATTTTAATCACTTTGAAATTTGAAAAAAAAAACACAATTTTAGCAGGAACAAAAAATCCAAAAATTTAGATCTTTGCGTTTTTCTTATAAAAAAGAGCATCTTTTAATTTGATTCGAGATACTCTATTCTTGTATCATCAATTATATATTTACCTGTCGAGTTTCGACACATAAATGCAATCCATCTTAAGTACATTGACGTAGGTATTCATGTAGCTTTTGAAAAAAGAAAATTGAGCTGGAAATTAAAGATGAGATTACCTTTTATATATATATATATTAATTCAGTTACAGTTAATTTCTTTTGTCTCATTGTATTTATTACAGTACGTCTAAAAGAAATTTTTGTTTTATACAAAAAGCCAAGCTTTTGGGATTCCCCTCTCCTTCCTTTCGCTTCCTCCTCCTCCCCATCAGTGGAATCTGGAAATCTAGCGCCGATCTCCGCCGATCTCCGCCGCGGCCCCTGTCCGTCGCCGCCAGCACCGGCTGTCTCCGCCTCCTCGTGCTCCGATCTTCTCGTCGGTCGGTCGCTCGCTCTTCTTTGCCTCGCCTCATTCGCTCTCCGCGTCCGTCCTGTCTGCTCGTCGGCGCTCTGCCTCCGATCCATTCTGCTCTCGCGGCTGCTCGTCCGCGCTGCTTCGTCGCCTCTCCGTCGTCGTCGCGGCCTTCGTCGTCGTGATCTGCTCCGTTGCCTCTGCTCGCTGAATCTCGTCGCGATCTGGTTCGTATTATCCGTTCCTGTTTTTTTCTCCTTTCTTTCGGTAGGATTTGGTTGTTGATCACGGAATTGAATCGATATATGCACTAGCTCGTACACTGAGTGGCATTTGGAGGCGTATGTTCTTAGCTTCAGTCGTTAATTTTGCTCTTTGCTTCGTAGGATTTGTGTTCATGATGCTTAAATTTTCTTCCCTTGATAAGAAAACGATCTCATAGTTCGAAGCTCCAAAATGTGGAAGGAGCAAGTCCACAACGATCCCTCATACAGACTCTCTCTGCATATGTCTCACCGATTCTGAACGAATCATCTATAAGCCCTCTATACATGTCCCCACCAAAAAAATGAAAAGATCGACGTCTCCAAACAATGAAAATTGATGTCTGATCAGCAACAATGTACATCTCCAAATCTAGGATTTGTCGGTTCCTTTCGGCCAAATCGGCAAGGGATCCTCCGATTGTGACGCAGCTCAGCAACCTCTGTAGATATCAACCTGCAACCATCTTGGAGTGAGGGATTCAGAGGAAATCCTCACCGGAAAAAGAACACTGGCAATGACTCTACTTTCAAGAGGATCAGATTCCTCATGTATTTGTTTCTTTCATTCCACTCCACGCCAACTTTAAGAGTGTATCCTTCATACTTTGCCTTAATGCACTGCAGAGCCCGAGGCAATTCATCCTCCCGGACTCCAATACCTGTAGAGACGCCACAAAGCTGCAAAATATAAGTCCAAACCTGCTTGGAGAATGAACATCTGAGAAACAGATTGCCTCTATATTTAGGTAACTCCTTGCAAAGAACACAACCGTCATTCACATCACACCATTTCTGCATTTCTGTCATGTGTTGGAAGTCTGCTTAGTAAGACTAACCAATTGATCAAAGCTACTTTAGGTACATTAGGCTTGACCCAGGTTACCCGATGCCAAGCCACTTTGGGTCCTCTTCTTCTAACAAGTTGCCAAGACCCAACTTGACCAAAATAGTCACCAGCGGATCCTGTCAAAATCAGTCTATAATCTGCATCGAAATTTGGAAAGACACAGGCAAACAAAGCTGCTTGTAAAGCAACCAGATGGTCAGACCTAGCAGCAGCCCATTTCCAGTCATTGCTTTTAATAATTGCAGCCACTCTAGCATTAATGCCTAATTGGTGTCGTATAGTACTTTGGCAGGATAAGAATCGAGCAAGACATTATGCGGATGCCATTTACCAAACCATAGGGAGATGCTTGTTTTGATTCCTAACTATCAAACCATAAGGAGATGCTTGTTTTGATTCCTAACTATACATCTGATATGTGGCTTGAGCAGACCCCTCACTTTGAGAAGCTTCCTTCAAACAAAAGTGCTGTCACTCCTCACCTGAATAAACCATATACCAGAATCTTTTTATACTAGAATCTTTTTAACATGAATATGTAATACCAGTTGTCTTGTCTGGTTTGGGATGAGATTGGGCACCCGCTAATTCTAACGAGACAGGTTTGGGATATTCCCCTCAAAATCCGTAACGGGTTTGGGGAGGGCTTAGCTTTTCCCAAACCCGTCTCACTTTTATGCCTACTTTTTCCTCTCTTCATAACCATTTTATCCTGTTCATTGCTCATATGAAGCTGTTATGAAAGCCCATTGTTAGGCAGTGACAAATCACGAATTTTTTTTATGTTTTTTATTTAGTACTGAATATTTCTTTTAGTTCTTCCCAATGAAGATACAGACAAATCTTTCTGTCCAAAATCATACATTTTCTTATCTTCATGTTGCAGTAGATTTTGTAAAGATGTCTGGTCAGAGCCAGCGGTTGAATGTGGTTCCTACTGTCACGATGCTTGGAATTGTGAAAGCTCGCCTTGTTGGTGCTACAAGAGGCCATGCCCTACTGAAGAAGAAGAGCGATGCTTTGACTGTGCAGTTTCGTCAGATCCTGAAGAAAATTGTATCCACAAAGGAATCAATGGGGGACATTATGAAAGCATCCTCATTTGCCCTGACTGAGGCCAAGTATGTTGCTGGCGAAAATGTCAAGCACGTTGTTCTGGAAAACGTCCAGAATGCTTCTTTGAAAGTCCGATCTCGACAAGAGAATGTTGCTGGTGTGAAGCTTCCTAAATTCGAATATTTTACCGATGGGGAGACCAAGAATGACCTGACGGGATTAGCCAGAGGTGGTCAACAAGTTCAGCTTTGTCGGACTGCTTATGTGAAAGCCATTGAGGTTCTTGTGGAGCTTGCTTCGCTGCAAACCTCTTTCCTGACTCTTGATGAGGCTATTAAGACCACCAATCGTAGAGTGAATGCGCTGGAGAATGTTGTGAAGCCCAGGTTGGAGAACACAATAAGTTATATCAAGGGTGAGTTGGATGAACTCGAGAGGGAAGATTTTTTTAGGCTGAAGAAGATTCAGGGATATAAGAAGAGAGAAATAGAGAGACAGCTTGCATCTGCCAAGAGATTTGCGGAAGAGCAGTTTGCTGAGAAGGTTTCCTTGCAAAAAGGGGTTTCACTAAATACAGCCCACAACTTGTTATCGGCAGCAATGGAGAAGGATGACGATATCATTTTCTGATTTGCCTGCGTTTCTCGGGTATTTGATTCGGCTGTGCTGATTGTTTTGGCTCGAAAATTTCCCAAAGCGGCCATGGATTAAAGCTTTCTCCATAATTAGTCTTCATTTGGGCGTCTTCTTCTCCTTGATTTGTTGATTTAAAGCCTCGTCATGTCGAGTCTGTAGTATTTGTTCATCTAGTGGCTTTATCTATTAGTTCGCTGCTAAGCTTGTACTTAATCGGATCCGTTCTCCATCAATAAATTAATGTCATGGTGTTGATTTTTCCTGTCCTTTGCCTGAAGGATAGCAGTACATAGGTGTAGTCCCTTGCGACAAACTCCTTCTCAGGAAACTAAAGAACATGCGCAACAGAAAGCACCTTGTCAGCTTTGCTTTTAGATAAGACAGTGGGTATCGTCTTCGTAACAGGAAGATCGGAGGTACTGTCAGCACATAAAAAGAATAACAAATTTCGCTAATTATCTGGATTAGGATGGATAAAGCACCAATGCTGGCTCCAACCCTTCCTGGGATTCCCATCCTTACTCTAGTTTGGTAACAGGAGGCGATTCAGAGTCTCAGTTGATGCCTACCTTTTATGAAACATATCGACGCCTTCGTATCGTGAGCTACAGCAATCCACTGATATCCCATATGCGTTACTGCTTTTGGGTTTTCAATGACTCTTGGATTGCGAGTTTTGGGTAGAAATGCAAAGTGCAGGCGACATATGATACACACTGATGTCAAGTCGGAACAGATAACACACGTAATTGTGCGCCCATTCTCACATGAGACGTGATCTTTCCATTTACAGAGGTCAGATCAATGGTCAAGGACAATATATACAAAGGAAATCTCTGGTTTGCTAGGACAAGTCACAATGCCGCTGGCCATAACCATTTCTTAGAAATGAGTCTGTTTTGCTTCTTGAAGTGACTGAGAATGGAAGAAATGCTGAGTTTTATTTCACAATTCAACGTCGCTCGACATCGCTCCTGGTGTACTTGAAGGAACCTTTATCACTCAAATCATAACTAAATGTCTTTAAATAATTCATGAGCAAATAAAGTTACACACGGGGTGGCCGAAGGATAGTGAATAGGCACGGAGGCTCGCACAAACCCGGTGAAGAAGACGAAACATAATATAATTCTGATATGCAAATCTTTCATGTATGAGTGCTATCCTGTATTGCCGTTCCTGGCAAAGCCTCTGAACAGAAGCAAGCTTCTAAATTCTTCTCCCCATGGGTTTCGTCACTTTAGAAGATGAAGCAGAGTCTCCACCGGACGGCCCTCGTGGCCTTATCAAGGGAGAAATACTGTGCGATGAGACAGAGGTACGGTTAGCAGTGGAAGTAAATCAATATTCGAAGACAGTGGACATACGATTATGAATACCTGTATTCTCTCTGGATTGCCTTTTTCCTCATGGCTGCAATGTTTTTCACCTCTCGACTGTAGAAAACGCGAAAAAAGGGATCGCCAAAAATAAGTGTGGTTCCTTTTCAAAAGATGTCCAAACTCGTGCAAGTTAACATATAGTAAATTTAGGTGCTGCAAAGCGGCGGGAGTTAACCTATTAAGAGTCTCTATCTTTGCCTTCTTCATTATATTGCTCTTCAGATTGGATACGTTGTAAGATCCGCAACCTAGAGATATGATTAACAGCGGTAAGGCAAATAGAGAAGACAGTGCTTGACAGGTCCGCTTTTGTGCGTCAGCAGTTCAACGTGCTGGCGCCCAGAAACTGCATTCTTAGTGAAACTAGAGGAGAGCAAGAGCAAAGCAAAGTTTTTACCACCCACCGAAACTTCTCTTATTGCTTGATGGTGGCACCTTTGAGCAAAGACGAACTTGCCGGCTTTGTTTATCTGCAGATGTAAAAAAATAGCAGATAAGGCCAATTTTGTGATGATGCCACAAGTTCAATTTTATAAGACGAGGCCAGCGAGCAAATATAAGATCTATCAGTTCACACCGCAGTGCCAAGAAAACATAGTTCTGTTACCTACGAACAAGACCAGAGATTGTATGGCTTCTGACAATAAAATCAATTCTATCCTATTAATAGACCAGACATCCTGTGATTCAAACAGATGCACAGATAGTTTTTGGTATGAGCATAACATCAATGTTTAATAGAAGGCTGAAAAGAAATCTTTATCTAGCTCGGATAACGTACGGGCATCCGTTTCCTTGTATAGTTGCCTCATCCTATCCAGCGACTTATTCTGAGCCTCCTCGATGTCCTTCAACTTTGCCTGGCGCAAAATCGATACCCACTTCAATATAACTCAATACTAAATATTGATGCCAAAAACATGTATTTCCAAGCGTGATTGACGTAAGATTGCAGACAGTCCAGTTGTTTGCTCACAGGAGAGCAGCATGCTGAGAAAGTCAGACATCTGAATGTCGGAATGCATGTTTTAGCTAAATGAGCTGAGAATTCACCTCATACAATTGTAACCATCTGAACGAAAACTTCTTGTGCTTCATCCTCTCGATGACAAGATTAGCGCTCTGACTACCGAATTGTTTCTCATAAAAATTCTTCCACAGATCATCGGTGACCGGAGTCAAGTCTCTTCCCTATAAGAGAACAACAAGCATCATTCCACATTCATCAGTGACGACATGCCCAAATCGGGAAAAAAGAAAGGAAGGAAGGAAAAGGAAACCATCGGCGATCCTAATCAAATCGCAGATATCAAAAGGATCCTTACTTTCGAACTTTTCTCTATGTGCATCAGCTGATCAACCGTACAGTGCGGCAAGATTCTCCCAAGAAGCTCAGCATCGGTCTCGCCGACGTCGCCTAGATATCTCAGGTTATCTATCGCGGTCCTGACGCAGAGATCGACCAGCGACGGAGCTTTGCTCCTCATCGGCATGTTTCTACCGAGCTCGCATCCTGTTCTCCTACCGCCGAGTTCTAACCTCATCGAGCTACACAAAAGAGCAGATATTACTGAACATCACCAGACCACAGTTCAACCTGAATCAACTCGATTTCGAACCGCAAAAAGGCGCCGCGGCCGCCGCGCAGGAATCAAGAACAGAGCCTCGAATTCGAACGAATCAAAGACCGTCGGTCCCCAGGAAACGCGCACGACACCGATCCAATCGAAAAACCACAGACGCCACGCATATCTCAATCGAAACACCCACGCATCAATCGGCGAAGGCGACGTTCGACATCATCCTACGCAGGGTCCGCCAATTGAACGTTCGTACGAGGAAAGAGAGGGTGTGACGGAGCTCACCGGAGCGATCGACGACGGAGGGGGAGGGGAAGGGGAGGCGCCGGCGGGGCGGGGGGCGGTGATCGGGGGACAAAGAGGCCGGCGATCGCCGGCGGGAGGGAGAGGAATCCGGTCGGTTCCCGACGGGGGGCGACGCGATCGGAGAACGGCGGGATGGACCGATCAACCGGTCATGCGCTCGACCCTCCGGGAGGAGGTCAAAGGGGATTGCATGAAGGAGGTGGGCGACCGAGAAGGGAAGGCGGAGAACATTTATCAGGTGAGCGGCGAGGCTCAACGGGGACGAGCTCCCCCGTATATATATATATATATATATATATATATATATATATATATATATATATAGAAACAGAAAAAGGAATATGTAGAAGAGATGATGAAGTGCACTCTTCCAAAAACTTATGACAACAATTGAATTCTTCAACTTTGGAAAGATTGCGACAATTGAGAAAATACCGACGGGCTCAAATTAACTAAAACATAGAGCATAAGGGTAAAATAATAATCGATTTGACTCAAATCTTTAAACTTTTTTTTTATCCCAAATCTAAGTAAATCGACACTCTTTTAAAGCAATTTAACTAAGAATCGAGATTGAAAATTAGGATTTGGGCCGAAACGAATTTCGTTATCTTTTATACTTTATGCTGCTTCGGTTAACTTGACGCCGTGTATGATAGTAGGAAAAATAAAATAATAAAAAAAGCCACATCAATATTTGTCGTTAGCTGAATTAGTTAGAATTAACGTAAGGATTTGATTACACTAATTCGATGGACTTCGACTTTTAAAAGATTCCAAAACATTTGGTGCACTTACTCCTATAACGAAGTAAGGAAAAGAAAAAACAGAGAGAAAATTTTAGCAAAAAAGAAAAATGTATGAAAAAGAAAGGGAATTACTCCGCACGCGTGCTTTGGGTAGGCGAGGAGTTGGGCAACTGGCGAGTACGGTCGTAACTGTTTGTTTCGCTCCTCGGAGTTTGTCCGGGTCGAACTCTTTCCTGTCTCTTCGTCATCATTAACTACTTCTACATATTGCTCTTTTTTTTAGAAGCTGGAATTGAATTCACAAATCGCGCTAGCGATCGGAATTATCTTGCTCACATTCCGAATTCCAAGCTCTAATATCTAATTTACCTCAAGCACGCTTTGGATCTCTAACCTTCCGATTGAGGAGATTTTGTATCGCGATTCGTTTTAAAGAACTCCTCGAAAGGATTCGAAATTCCCCAAGATGGGACTCACTTGAGATTTCCGTCTCAATTTCACTTTGCGCGCGCTCCATCACTAGGTTTTTTCTTGAATTATCCATTCGGTATGCTCGCGTTCGTGTTCCTCCTTGCTGTCGAGACACCGGTTTTGCACATGGAGTGCGGAGCAAAAAGCTTGGTATGCATGGAAGACTCGCCTACTGGCATTTTATGAGATTGCCGGTCTCCTCTTCTATGCTTTGAAAACTCAAGGAATCGCGACAAGGACCATTTTAGCTAGGGTTCCGTCGGGAGCAGGTTACTTAGGGCCCTTATATTTCGCATTTCGTACTGGAATTCCTCGGCCGGAGAAGAAGCCCTTAACCGCAGTTCGGGCTTCAAGCATGCTTACCGTTTGAGATTTTCTTAGATCTCACGGTAGGAGATGCATAAGAGCATTTAGCTTCGACATCGCTTTCTCGCACTAGAATTTTTTAGGCCCGGTCTGGATCTACTACCAGCTCCAAAAGACAGCCTCTCTCCTGTAGAACACAACCTAGACAAAAAAGAATTAGGAAGGACAATTCACACTGAGACAAGATAGATCACAAGAGGAAAGCTGAATAAACAAGAAGATGATAACATAACCTTTAATGGAAGTGCTTAAATTAGATTTATAGTACTTTATGCCTCAGAGAGTATCACGTAGTAACAGTTCCAAACTACGAAAACGAAAACCAGGTACAAGATAGCTAACAAAAGAATTTCAATAAGCTTTAGCATTGCTAGGAAACTAAGACACATGACACCGGAACATAAAGGTAATATGCACTATGACAGAAAAGGAACAAGAGTTTTTACCCTGCGGTTTCTGTTGCTCCATCAATGACCCATTCCCAATTCGACTACTCCGAAGCTTCACATATCTGCCTCGTCCAAGATAACAGCACATTTCCTACTCTGAAGCGATATAGCCACTGCAAGAATACTTTAGCTTTCTAGCAAGTAGGGATCAGGAAACCTACAGTCATGAGGCTCTACCTCCTCGTGTTGGTCCATACATAATTCCAGTTGGCAGTAACCCTTGTGCTGATTTACCGGCTTCACTGAGCTTTGCCAAACCAAAATAGAGATCTGACCATTGAGGCCCTTATCAAGCAAAACATTGCTACTCTTGATATCTCTATGCACATCTTCAATCTTGATTCTTCATGGGAATAGGCAAAACCACTGGCTATACCTAGGGAAAGTTCCCATCTAGGGGACCAGTCCAGTTTTAACTTGCTGGTCGCATCCTTCCCTACGATCAAAATTAACGGAAGATTTTGTCAGTGACCATTTATCATGGAAAAAAGTGCATCTTTAAACAGAGAAAGTATTAAGCTCACCATCGTGAAGTAAGACAGTTAATTTTCCATGTACCTGTAAATAAGAAATGGCTGATTCCCTTCAACAAAACATCCATATACTTTCACGAGGTATTGATGCTGTAAGCCAGAGATCATTCACAAACTCATGATTTCCTTGCTGAGATTTTGATCAGAGCTGCATCAAAGCAATGACAGTTTTATCTGATACTTGACCCTATACCAAAAAAAAGCACTTTTCCCAACAAGGAAACCTTCTACCCGCTCTGATAAGATGACATATTTCCGCCAAAGAAAGCAAAGAGTCATTCACTAGAATAGCACTGACTACTGAAGTTTCAAGCTTATAATGGTTATAGCACTAATATGGTCCGTATGAGTTCTATGTAGTACACCTCTTATATTTAATAGGTCCCATGTGGCTTAGAGGGGATCCACATATGTTGGGCTTACATGCACCCATCACATGCATCATCTTTCTAGGTACACAGAAGATTATGATGCTTATCTCCTGGTTAGTCAGCTTAGGATGCCACCTTTGGAAGAGGAAATAAATGCAGAAGCTAAGTTGATAACGAAAGGGAGAAAAAAAAAAACAACCAGTAGCAAAAGGACTGAGCTGAAACAGATACTCTCGGCACCCAGAAATTAACATTTGTTGATCCACAATTCCTCACATTAACCATGAAGAATCATATACCATGTTAATAAGTCGACGAATTTGTAGTGAAAATACTAATTCAAATAGCAGGAGAACAGAAGATATTCAGACATAAGAAAAAAGAAACCTGTGGCCAGCATAAGAATGCAATTGGGACAATCATGTGCCCAAAAGTATAAATGCATTATGATCTCATCCATGGGGTGAAGAAATCAACCAGGACTCAGGGATCTCTCACAAAGGCACCAAATTTTCATTGCCATTGATAGAGACTCTGCTAAACCGACAGTTGCACGTGATTTGCTCCAACCTAAATAGTTACTGTTCCATGCTAAAAACTGAGGTCAAAAAATCAGACCGCGTTGTTTTAATATATACAAACCACATGCCTTCAACTTATGTAGTCGAACTATTGATTATTGACAGGCCACCGCTAGCCACAGGGCATTTGCCTTGAAATTTCCTAATAAGATACAACAAATTCATGAAACCTATGGTACACTGCAAGAAGAATTGTCATGTTCTAATAACAGGACCCTTGTACAATCCTCTTCGAATCACAAAGTTATCAGGAGGTTGGAACTCTTCTAACCAAGTTATATTGGAGACCGTTGTCCCATCCAGTTCAAGTTCCCCTTCAAATCAAAAGAAAGTTAAAATCAGAATAAATGCACACTGAAAAATTAGCAACGGAGAAAATATCAATTAGTACCTGGTAGATCCCTTCTCGGTGATTTCCTAAAATAAGTGCAGTGCCTTCCATTTTCTGATGAATAAGGTGGAGACAGGATGTCAAAAATAGCACAGGGAGTGATTGCTCTAAAACAATGGATGTTGCCACCACTTGTGGGGTAAAGAATGGTCGTTGGACATGGTGCTACCATCTCAGCATCTTTAACGAGCTTCGCTGGTCTTGCTGCAGAAAGCAATAACTGCGAGTTTTAGTAAAGAAGTCCTGTTCTGATCTTTAAAGGCTATGACCAATTTCCTTGAGTCGGAGATAATTAAGAAAAAGTGGCATGATAAATAAGCACAAGGCATCAACTTCATTAGGAGCTTCTGCTTCGCAGAAAAAGTGAAATAAGTTGGCATAGCTACTTTAGGTATATATCTTTTCAGTTTCCTCTGCTATGCAATAAAGTATCACAAATCGCATTCATGTTGTTTGAGAACATATTGTTTAAGTACCACAAATCACGTTCACAAATCGCATTTATTTGCAAAAATAAGCAGGCACAACGACTTTAAGTACAAACTATTCTAATTTCCTTTGCTTTGCAAAAAGTACCACAAATCGCATTCATTTCAAGCTATCCGATCATCTCCAGATAATAACAAGTTGCATTTTCGAAGCAATGTCGAGAGTGCGATATGATGTCATTATGTCACTCCAAGAATATATATCCATTGACCTAGCTAACACCTTGGCATGTCTATCATCTTATAAATCAAAAAACTTAAAAGTGTTTGTTACACGTGAAATAAGGTAGTGCAATCACTATGCTAAGCAGTATGCCATATGTAAGACCCAAACAAAAGAATTTTCATCTCCCAAGGAAGAAACTAACATGCTTAACCTCAAGTTATCAAGGAAGAAGCAGAATATGGCCAATGGTAAAACAGTCTAAAGGTATGTTACATCTTCGTTCTAGTGGCAGGATAAATTGTCAATTCTCGGTTGGCCAGACACTTTCATCTCATAACAAGTTGAAAGATTTCATTGCATGTGCAATAAGGAACAACTTAAATAACTTGTGCCTCCATGCGACATCCGCAAATCGATTAGACAGAGAGGCTAAAACCACTCAAGATATTAGCTTGCTCAGCTTAACTAGTTTTGGAGCTGCTTCTTTTTTCATTTGTTCTTTTGAATTACTAAGACCATCTTTGGCACCTACATGATGCATTCAGTAAGGGTAAACAATTTAATAAGCCTTGTACGCTTATAGTATAAACTAAGTATCAGGAACAAAAATAAGAGAGAAAATCAACTCTTTCAAGCAGAGCAGTTTTAGCATGTTCCTCGCCCGCGCGCCCCACCCCACCCCCCACAAAAAAAAACCAAA